ATTTGCATTGGAGATAGCACAGCAAATGTTCATTAGATTGATCCCTGGGATGAGAGGGTTGTCCTATGATAAGAGGTTGAGTATACTGGACTTCAGTCTTTGAAATTCAGGATAATGATAGTTGATCTCATTGAATCAATGAAACATTGAAACACACCTGCTTCATATATTCTTGTAATTGTGAATTTCTAACCAGCTGGAAGGGGGTTTGTTTTTACAAATTAGTATAGTTCAGCAACAATTGTGACTGTTAAGCTTTGGTTGAATTTTCAATTAGATCACAGAGAGACAGATGATTTTTTAGCTTGATGATCTGCAAACTTAACAGTCTTGGTGCTTCCTCTATGAGATGTGAAGCAACATTTGAGCGATCTCCACTTAGTCTTCCAAAAGTGCCCAAAGGATATCGTATTTAACAGATAGCTGGAAATATTGTCTGAACAGCAGTAAGATTGGCTGTTGAGGGATACGAAGAATATTCACAGATGTCTGCAATCCTCCAAATCCTTTCATTGCTGTTTCCTTTGTTCCACTTTTGGCAGCCATGCTTTTAGCTGACTGAATGCTGATGCTGCGCTGCGAAATTCTTTCACAAAGCCTCTTCACCTCTTTGTCATCCTTCAGAATGCTCCTTAAAACCTATCTATTTATGATTTTGATGACCAAAAATATTAATTTTTTTATTCATTCACAGATGTAGGTGTCATTGGCTAGGCCAGCATTTATTGTTCATCCCTAATTGCTCTGAAGAAGATGGTGTTGAGCTGATGATACAAATCAAGCAGGAATGTAAGCTGTGTGGAGAACATGCAGAATCAAAAGGGATATAGACACATTAAATGCATGAGGTTATAATGTGTGAGGTTATTCACAGAATCCATTAAGTGGTGGGTTCAAGTTCAGGAACATTTACCAGCATCTGATATGTATCTCCATCAGGTCCCCCACTATTATCCCTTGATATAATTCCCAACTCTTTATCATGATGCAGTCTTTAGACTTGAAGATATCAATGACCTTGAAGCTATTGGATTGTTTAAAAACCTGACCGGTTCCCTAATGTCCTTTCTCTGTAAACATCTAGGTCATTTAATCAAGGAGATTGACCAAAACAGTCCAGCAGAAAAATCTGGGCTACTTGATGGTGATCTTCTGATTGCTGTGAATGGGGATGTCGTAGATCATCTGGATCACGAATCGTTAGTTGATAAGATAAAGAAGTGTGGGAACCAGGTCACATTCCTTGTTGTTGATAGCACAACAAATGAGCTTTATAAACAGGTAAGTAGATGAGTCAACTTGGTGCTAAATGCAGATGGATAAACCTTTTTGCACTCATCTGAGTTGCATTGGGAGTGGCATCTATACCTGTGTCCAGATTAAATCTTTCTCTCACTGTATCAAATTGCAACTACTGAGCTGTGGAGGTTTAAACTCACGGTTTGCTTTATCCTAATGACGTCATTTTCACAAATGATATTGGTCTTTTCCTGGGAGACTGTGAAGAGAGTTCATAGTGTAGGTCATGCTGAATCATCTCTAGTTGAGATGTTACAAATTCACAACTCCTTAGTCAATGAGGAAGCATATCAGACAGGGTTCCTGCTCCAGGTGGTCAACAGTCACTTGTGTCACAATGTAAATGTGTAGGCAACTCTTGGGAAGAAGGCATAAGTAGGCACAGTCATGCTTCAGATACACAAAGCTTTGGTTAGAATATACCTGGAGTAACTGCGAGCAGTTCTGGGCATCATACTTTAAGGATATGTTTGCTTTGAATGAATGAATGATTTTACTGTCACATGTATTTTACAGTGAGAATAACAGTAGAATATAGTGAAAAGCTTTTCAACTGTCATCACAATCTGGCGCCATTTGGAATAGTTTAAGCATAAGGTGGAAATAGAAAGATATAGATTAAAGAGAGTCAATCTTCCTGAGCCAGCTCATCATCAAGGACGCCTGTGTCGCCATCACTCCTCCACCAGCTCGCCACCGGCTACACTGGACCCAACCAAAACTGAAGTCACCACTCTTCAGGTGCCATCTGTCGTTGCTGTGCTGATTCATCTCCACCCACTGCTTGCGCCGGACCCACCAACATCAGTTGCACCTGTCACCACCAGACCCACCTCAATGTGATGCCCTTCCGCCGCCAGCGTCAGACCTAACCAATGACGAAATCGCTGATCCTCAGGTGCCATCTTTCACCGCTAGGCCTACCTTGCCGACGTCGCCTCCGCCAATGTAGCAGCTGCCAATTCCAATGCCCCGGAAAAGAATGGAGTGCAGTGTAGATTGACCATAAGGCCACCTGGATTCTAAGGATTAAATTATAAGGCATGGTTACATAAACTAGGGCTGTATTCTCTAGAATAAAGCCAAAATACTGTGGATGCACAGAATGCTGGAGAAACTTAGCAGATCTGGCAGCAACTGTGGACGGAGAAACAGAGTTAAGGTTTTAATGTATCCATGAAGTTATACCAGACTTAAAAGGTTAACTCTGTTTCTCTCTCCACAGATGCTGCCAGACGTGCTGACTTTCTGTCATACTCTCTAAAACAGACTGCTCCAACTATTTCACGTGCAGGGGCCAGGGAGAGTTGCATTTCAGATGTTCTCTCACTCAGGTGGCAATAAATCAATAGTTGAAATAAATGAGTAATTGATAAAATAAATGATCATTAAAACGCAGCAGAGCTAACTGATTGGAGGAGCAGGTCCTTGCAGAATCTTCCCGCTGTATTTATCTGCATTTGGAATGCCAGCTGCAGGCCTGAACAGACACCCCTCACCTGTTGGTCAAGTCTAGTCTAGAACTTAAGAGGTTAGAGGATGATTTGAACAAAGTTTTTGGGATATTAAGAGCAGCAAAGGTAGCTAGAAAGAAATATTTCTGCCGACTTGGGAACGTAGAACTAGGAGGCAGTGTCTAAAAAACCAGAGCTGCCTCTTTCAGGGATGACTTTAGGAAAAGTTCCTAAACTCAAAGTTTGGAACCTGGCTTCCACAGACAGCAATGGTTTGCAACTAAATTGTTAGTTTTAAATTGGAGATCTAAAAATATGAACAGATATGGGCCAAAGGATGGGTACATGAAGTTAGGTTGCCGGTCACCCAAGCATGTTGTAAAAGGTTCCTGGGGCTGAATGGTCTTCTCCTGTTCCTATGAGCCCAGTTCTGATGTTGTCCAAAGTTGTATAGCCTGATGGAACAAATCTTCCAAGATGAAAAAACAATAGGCACAATGTGCAAGAACAGGTCATTGACAGTGCATGCAGTAAGATTCTCTGACGAAAAAAAGTGCAATTACCACACAATCAGTAACACAATGCACAATACTATTATGCGTAGAATCAGTAACCAACCCATTGCACCCTGGTTCAATGACACACTGTAAAGTATATTTACCTTCCCCCTATGGTGAGCTAGTAAAACACTGCATAATACAATTACAAAGCACTATACAGTTTTACCCTCAGGGGTAACACTCTACAATTACCCTTGGTCAGTAACACAATGCGCAGTATATTTAGGCGTTAGTAACATAGTTCAATGACTCCTAGAGTTAGTTACATACTGTACAATTACCCCATTCAATACAATCACCCTCAGTAATACAACGTATAATACAATTACCTCCCCCAGGATCAGTAACGCACTGCATTGCAGATTTACCCACAGGACTTACTTTCTACATAAGTAACTCTTGCAAATAATTACTATCACCAGTGACAGTTTTATTTGCCCATAGACAGTGGGGAGTCTGTAGGCTGGAATTGGGAGCAAGGTTTTGCAGATAAATTGTTCTTCCTCCTGCAGTGTTTACACATGCTGACACTACTTATGAAGGAGGAACCTGTGACTTCCCCAACGTGCATAAAATAGCTTCATCATGGACAGTGCAAGCCTAAGGTTACACTGATGTGGAAATTTTGATTACTTTCTTGCTGTCCAATCACAGGCTGGTATTTCTCCAATCTGCTATTGGAAAGAGGTTTATGAATTGGATCAACCAGTGGAAGTTGAGGAGTCTCAAGGGAACCAGAGATCGACAGAAAGTCCTCAACATGGTCCCAGAATGTGTCACCTGACCAAAGGTCCAGAAGGATATGGCTTCATTCTCAATGCAATCAAGGGTGTGCAAGGGCAGTTTATTAAACAGGTACAAACTATTTGTGTAGGATCAAAGTAAGAATTTGGAATCTGACAATATAGGAGGCAATTTGGCCCATTGTCCCTGTGTCAGCTCTTTGTTGGGGTTCTGCAATTAGTCCTTTTCAAATAAAATTTTCTTCTGAAAGTTCCTATTCAAGGGAGGGGAAAAGAACCCCATACCTGATAATAACAGTTTTGTAGTGGTTAAACTGCTGGACAAGTAATTTGGAAACAAGAGTTAAATTTCACCATGATGGCCGGGGTGTTTAAAGCCAGTTAGTTGAATACATTCACAATTAAATACCAGTATCAGGAATGGTGAAACCTGAAACAACCAGACTGTCATTAAAATCTAAGATAACACGGTGAAGAGCTGGATGAACACAGCAGGCCAAGTAGCATCAGAGGAGCAGGAAAGCTGACGTTTCGGGTCGAGACCCTTCTTCAGAAATGGGGGAGGGGAAGGGGAAGGGGATTCTGAAATAAATAGGGAGAGAGGGGGAGGCGGATAGAAGATGGATAAAGATGGGTGGAGAGGAGACAGACAGGTCAAAGAGGCGAGGATGGAGCCAGTGAAGGTGAATGTAGGTGGGGAGCTAGGGAGGGGATGGGTTGGTCCAGGGAGGACGGACAGGTCAAGGAGGTGGGATGAGGTTAGTGGGTAGGAGATGGGGGTGGGGCTTGAGGTGGGAGGAATGGTTAGGGAGGCGAGGACGAGCTGGGCTGATTTTGGGATGCAGTCGGGGAGGGGAGATTTTGAAGCTTGTGAAGTCCACATTGATACCCTTGGGCTGCAGGGTTCCCAAGCGAAATATGAGATGCTGTTCCTGCAGCTTTCCGGTGGCGTCATTATGGCAATGCAGGAGGCCCAGGACTGACATGTCATCCAAGGAGTGGGAGGGGAAGTTGAAATGGTTCGCGACTGGGAGGTGCAGTTGTTTGTTGTGGACCGAGGGAAGCTGGTCCACAAAGCAGTCCCCAAGCCGCTGCTTGGTTTCCCCGATGTAGAGGAGGCCACAACGGGAACAGCAGATACAGTATACCATATTAGCAGATGTGCAGGTGAATATCTGTTTGACGTGGAAGGTCTTCTTAGGGCCTGGGATGGGGTGAGGGGGGAGGTGTAGGGGCAGGTGTAGCACTTGCTTCGGTCGCAGGGAAAAGTGCCGGGCATGGTGGGGCGGTGGGGCTGGAGGGGAGTGTGGAGCGGACAAGGGAGTCACGGAGAGAGTGGTCCCTCCGGAAAGCAGATAAGGGTGGGGAGGGAAAAATGTCTTTGGTGGTGGGGTCAGATTGCAGATGGCGGAAGCGTTGGAGGATGATGCGTTGGATCCGGAGGTTGGTGGGGTGGTACGTGAGGACGAGGGGGATTCTTTTTTGGTTGTTGTTGCGGGGACGGGGTGTGAGGGATGAGTTGCGGGAAATGCAGGAGACACGGTCGAGGGCATTTTCAACCACTGTGGAGGGGAAGTTGCGGTCCTTGAAAAAAAGAGGACATCTGGGATGTCCAGGAGTGGAATGCCTCATCTCGGCAGCAGATGCGGCGGAGGCGAAGGAATTGGGAATAGGGGATGGCCTTTTTGCAGGAAGGTGGGTGAGAGGAGGTGTATTCTAGGTAGTTGTGGGAGTCAGTAGGTTTGAAATGGATATCGGTTTCCAGGTGGATGCCAGAGATGGAGACATGAGGTCCAGGAAGGAGAGAGAGGTATCAGAGATGGTCCAGGTGAACTTAAGGTTGGGGTGGAAGGTGTTAGTGAAGTGGATGAACTGTTCGAGCTCCTCGTGGGAGCATGAGGCGGCGCCGATGTAGTCATCAATGTAACAGAGGAAGAGGTCATTAAAATCTACTTGCTTTGCTAATGTCTTTAGGGAAGGAAATCTGTTGCCATTTCCAGTTTGACCTATATTTGACTCCTAACTCACAGCAATGTTCTTGACCTTTAATTGCCTCTGAAATGTCAAGCAAGATACTCAGTTGCCTTCAAGGAAGTGGCTTAGCAACAGCTTCTCAAGGACAATTGGAAATGATTAGTAAATGTTAGCCTTGCCAGTAATGTTCACATTGCATGAATTAATAATAAGAATCTTGCCCTGCTCTTGTTGCCAGGATGACAATATGATCAGTCCAGTTAAGTTTCTGGTCATGAACTACCCACCAAGATATCGACGGTGGGGAAACTGGCAATAGCTGAATGTCATTAAGTATTGATTTTGTAACACTCCTTTCATATCAGGAATCCCACAGTGTTTGACTGACAATCAATTACTGTTGCATTGCGAAAGCAAGATGGGTAATGCTATTCTGCACAGGGAAGCTGAAGAATGAAAGTATGACTGGAGTGATTTGGATCAATTATGGTTTCCATGGTTACCTGAAGGTCATTTCTTAATACAATAATTGCACATTTCTCAACCTAAGCCAATGTGTATAATATTGAGTTGGCAAGTTAAAGTTTAAATGACAGCACTCAAAAAAAAAATTTGATATACAGCAAAGATCTTAATTTATACTTTATTCTTTCATGAGATTTGGGGAGCACTGGCAAGGCCAACATTTGTTGCTGATTGCTGACTGTTCTTGACACAGTGGCGGTGACCCACTGCTGTCTGTATGATGTACGGACACCCACAATGCTGGAGGGGACAGAGTTCCAGGATATTGTCCCAGCATCAGTGAATGAACGCTGATATAGTTCCAAGTCAGGATGCTGTGTGGCTTAGAGGTATCATGCCGTTGGTTCCATGCATCTGCTGTCCTTCTAGATTGCAAGGTGTCATGGGTTTGGAGGCTTATATCCAAGAAGCCTTGTGCAAGATGATACAGTGCAAAGTATGTGGGGGTGAGTCAGTTTGTTTGCATTTAAGGCTTGACATACAATCTTAGATAGGCCAATCTGCCCATCGTGGCTTTGCCAACTCTTTGAAAAAGTTACCCAATTATTCCCATTTACCCATTTTTTTTCTTTTCGAGTAGATATTCAATTCATTTATATTGAATGCTTACTTGAAACTTCCCATGCAATCTGCACCCACCGCTCTTTCAGGAAGCACACTCTACATCATACCAATGTAATGTGTAAAGAAATGTCTCCTTATTTACCTCCATCTTAGGTTATTAAAGGCAGCACAGCTGAAGAGGCAAGCCTGCAAGTGAATGACATATTGATTGAAGTGAATGGCATCAATGTGGAGACAGATACACATGAAGAATTGATAGAAAAAATCAAGACCAGTGGTGATAAGTTGAGTTTGCTGGTGATTAGAAAGGAAGAGTATGATCATTACAAAGAAACAAACACCCCAACTTCAGCAAATGGAAGCCGAGTGCCAACGTCTGAGCCAGTTACTCCTCCCGAGAATATCGAGGAGGAAAGCACGCCTGAGGAGCCAGAAACTCAGGAACCAGTAGCTGACAGTCCTACCCTGGCAAGGAGAGAGCAGGTAAATGGCTCAATAATTGTCAAAACTTACATTTAAATAGCACCTTTAACACAGCAAATCATCCCAAGGCATTCCACAATAGCATAATCAAATATATTTCAATAGACGCACTTAAGTACATATTAAGGCACGTGTGCTAAATTGTCATCAAAGGTGGTGGATTTTAAGGAGCAGCCAAAAGGCAAGAGACTTCCAGGAAGGGAATTTCAGAGGTTAGGGCCTCAACAACTGAAGGCACATCCAGCAATGTGAAAGGAGTCAGGCATCTGCAGCAGGCTAGATTAGAGGAACTTAAAAGTTACAAATTACTACATAGTATTAAACAGTATTTACTACACTGAAATTGTTCATTCAGCCCAGCTGATATTTATCCTCCACATTAACCTCCACCCACACCTCTTTATCTCAGTCTATTAGCATATACTCCTATTCCTTTATCTTTCTTGGATGGTTGCAGAGCTAATGAGGTCAGAGATGAAGGGTCTTTCTGATGAAGGGTCTAGGCCCAAAACGTCAGCCTTTCTGCTCCTATGATGCTGCTTGGCCTGCTGTGTTCATCCAGCTCTGCACCTTGTTGTCTCGGATTTTCCAGCATCTGCTGTTCCTACTATCTCAGGTTAGAGATATGGTTGGACAAGGCCATTTGGTTGAACACAAGGATAACAATGACTGGATGTTCAAGTAGCTCACCGTGCAATAAGAGTTGTAAGTGAATGGGACTTAGTACGGGTTGGTATATTTAAAATTCATATTATTATTTTCCCAGGCCAAGTCGTCAGCTGAAGGGGATACAGATGATGATACACAATTGTAACAAAACATTAGAGGAGCAACATAATCAACATCTCAGCAGCTTTTATGAACTGGAATGACCTGCAATAGTTTATGGCTTAACTCAGATTTACCAAACTTTGTTCCTCATTAAAGTATATTTCCCACAGAGGTGTTTCAAAACCATGATTCCTAAATATTTTTTTCAAAGTTCAATCAAAGAATCTTACAGTACTCATGGTAACCACTCAGCCATTGTGCTTATGCTGGGTCTTTGAAATCTATCCAAATTAATCCCATTCCCCTACCCTTTCCTCTTAACCCATATCATTTTGCCCCCTTCATATTGTCCAATTCTCTTTAGAAAGTTATTATTGCATCTACTTCCACTACCTTTTCAGGTAGACCATTTTGGATCATAACTCATTCTTAGTTCATGTCACCTCTGATTCTTTTGTTGATCACCTCAAATCTGCCTTCGCTGGTTATCAATGCCCTGCCAATTGATTAAATCGCCCCTTAACTTTTTCTACTTTAAGGAGAATAAATCTTTAAAATGAAACATTTGTCACGAATCAATGTCTGTTGCTAAGATACTGTATTGTAGGTGAGTGTGCAGTCCACATTATAGGAAATAACAGGCTGATTGGCCTTTTCTGTTGTAACTATTCTATGATACTATACTATGATTTCATTTATTATTTGCGTTAACACCTATCTTGCAGAACTCCTCATAAATGAACCACTACCTGGAATATTAGGTTTATAAATCACTTACCCGATTCCTGGCCTGCTGAACAAAACATCAAGGGATCTTGTGGTAGGGTGAGAAAGTGGAATTGGTATCAGTATCTTATTGAATAGCAGAATAAGATCAGAAGGCAGACTGGTTTACTCCTGATGCTATTTTCCATGTTGTAAGGGGGACCCCTGCAACTCACGTGGATCTCCTTTCAACCCACCACTAAAACAAGATGCATCTATGTAACATCTTTAACAAAATAAAAAGTTCCAAGGAGTTTCACAAGAGAGTTCAAGTCCTTAAATTTCAAACCTTAGTGTCATTGCTTCCCAGTAACTAAACATCTTGAGGTCCTTTATTTCATTCATGTTTACTATTTTTTTCATTCAATTTGTTAAAAGGAACAACTATTGGAAAAGAAAACAGGCTGGGATGCAAGAAAGAATTTACTGATTTTCTAGCACCTGATTCACATTCTCATCCAGGTTCAGCTATTGAAGTTAAGTGAATCAGACTATATAACAGCATTATCAAACAAAATTTGACACCAAACACACGAAGATAATATTAGGACAGGTGAACAAAAGCTTGTCAAAGAGTGAAAGAGGTGAAGACATTTACAGAAGAAATATCTAATTTTACAGTCTAGGTAGCTGAAGACTTCTTTTTTTGTTTGTTTGTGGGTTGTTGGCATGCTAGCTGGGCCAGAAATCCCCTAGAGGGCAGTTAGGTGTCAACAGTTAAGAACGTGTGTCAGACTGGAGGCACACGTTGGCCAGACCAGGTAAGGATTTTTAAAGGTCCTCCTCTAAAGGTCATTAGTGAACCAAATGGATTTTTATGACAATTGATAGTGGCTACATAATCAAATGGTGAAATCACAACAACAATAATGAGGAGAAACCTCGAGAAATTCCTAGTACTTACACATGAAATATTCATTAAATAAAAGAAAGTGCAAAGTGCTGGAAATGCATAGCATGTCCAATGAAATGTATAAAGAGGAAAGAAATTAATGTTTCAAGGATCATTTAATCAGATGCAAGGGACATCAGCAACGGGTTGTTACGTCAGAGACATTTGGGCTTGATGAGTATTCCCAATTTATAGGTTTTCATTTCAAAATTTCAGTATTTGCTCTTTTTAATGCATTTATTTTCCACATAAATTAAGCAAGGTTAGTAATGAGGAAGCTGCTATGATTACAGACCTGCAGTTGTGCAGCACACTTATGCAACTTTGCAGCTACTCACATTTTAACAGCTTGTGAGTCCAGCTACAGTTATGAAATGTTTTTTTTGAATCAGGGTAATGAGCTCATTCAGTTGCAAATTTATTTTACTCAATATCAAGGTTTAAAGCAACTTTTTTTTAAACTCATACTTCATATAATTTGTTTTGTACCTATTTATCTGTACATATTAAGGTGAGACAAATCAAAATGGTCAACTATCATGAATCACTGTTGATGTTGTACTGTATAAAAGGAGAATATTCTAACCATATGCCTTCCTTTGGGTGTCACTGACCAACATACTAATCCGACAATAAACAGAGTTAGAAGGTACACCCTGAAATGGCTGCCCCTATACATTCATTTGATAATTTAATATGCAGAATGGAAGATTATATAATATTGTTCGATACGCATACACAACAAAATCTGTGTACACGTACAGCCTGTAAAGTAATAAATAATCCCAAACCATAAGTACATTTCAAGGGAAAATTCTACACTAACTAAAAACCTGGTGAAACAGGTAGGTTTTAGAGTGTCTTAGAGTAGAGAAAAAAAATCACAGTCAATCGCCAAGGCCGCCAATATCGAATAATTAAAAATGTTTTGGACCAGAATTAGAGAAATACAGAAATCTCAAAGGGTTGTGTGGTTGGAGGAAATTACAGAGTTAGGGAAGGGTAAGGCCACGTAGGGAATGAAAAATCAAAGATGAGAATTTTAAAACTTGAGCTATTGTTTAACTTGGAGCCGATGCAGGTCAACGGGCAGAAGGATGATGGATGATAGGATCTTATGAGAAGTAGGACACAGGCAACAGAATTCTGATGTCTTCAAATTTACAAACGAACTTAGGTACAAAATAGGTAGAGATCTGAAACAAAATCTAGGAGATTGGCAGTTAACAGTGTGTGTGGATGGAAACTATTCAAACTTATCACATAGGCACAGTAGCAAGCATGGGGAAGGTAAAGAAAACTAAATAAAAATCTAATGAGAATGTTAATATTGTGTCGTCACACCTGGTGATTTATTTTAATATCTGCTATAAACATTCATGAAACAGATTAAACATTCATGATTTCCACACATTTTGCATAAAGAATATTTAATTTATTGGACCCTTGAAGATCATTAAGAAAATACAAAAGCGTCCCATAAAAGAAACAGTGAAATCAGAATGAAGAAACTGTGGAGATCAGGCATCAAAACAAAAAGGACACTTTTAGATCTTGCAAAGAATTCAGGCACACGTGAGGTAGATTCAGGTGACATACAATGTAGGTACTTACAATACTTCTGTGAAAACCATTTGAATGTCATAACTGACAAAGAACTTCATTCACTGAAAGCATGTGAGGCATATTCTGGATGATGCAAACTACATATCAGATGCCTAACAGGCTACATACAGAAGCGACAATGTTGCTTGGATCACCACTCTAACCGCTATGTACATTGCAAGATCAGTGGTGGTCTCATTAAAGTTCATTTTCTAAATTCATTCCAAGGAAAAAATCTTTCTGAATTTTTATAAAGTGGAAATCAATCAAATTCCTATACAAGGTCCTAAGGCTTTGAGGTTATCAGCTGATGGGAAATAACTGCCTTCTTTTGCAACTGGACATTCTTAAGTTGAAGCCTTGTTTACTGGGAGCACACATTGGGACAATAAGGTGCTTTCCATTAGCTTTTGCTCATTACAAAGAAAGGAAAATTTATCCCTTAAAAGTTTTCATTTAGTCTTAGAAAAAATGTTCTAAAATCAACTGGAAGCCTTCAAGAACTGATTTACATTCTTTCAGTTCAAACCTAACTGTAAACTTTACCAATGATTTTGTTTCTGATACTTATCCAAACGAAGCTTTCTATTAGTTAAATTTTTCATATTCTTTACATCAAACCACCAACCAGCCAGGCTTTTAACATCCGCACTTGAGCTTCTCAGTCAGTTGTCCTTTCTCAAGTCTTTTCAATGTACAAGTCGTGGATGGTGTTATATTCCAGCAGTTTATAAAGACAATGTGAACACAGAAGGTGAGTGCTCAGATTGACAGTGGTTTGACTAAAAGCTCATATGCTTTTCTGGGGCTTGTTTGTGTGCCAAGTATAGGAAGACGATACTAGACAGTGCACTGACCAGGAAGATGACATCAAACCAGCGATGGTAGAAATTAAACTGCAGCTCCCCTAGGACCTCAGTTACAATGGTGCGATATTCCAGGGGCATGCTCATTCTCATCAGCAACACCGATGACACAAAATACATCCCCTGTGGAACAGACAGAAAGTAAAACTGGAAATTTTCTGCACATCAGAATAAATGTTAGTTAACACATTGACATTTTAATGCTACTTTTCATTCTCTGTGGTGTTTTGTGAATTTGGAGTCGAGACCAAAGTTCAAAGCCATGGAATATTTGATCAGATGCAAATTGATTCCCATTTTAAAATCATTATCTGTCTTTATCTTTCAGCTTTACTACAAATTTCTCTACTGAATGTTTGTAATGGAAACTGCCTCAACTTGTCACTCAGCATCTGGCATTGCCTCCACTAGGAAGAGGAGGTAATTACAATGTGCCAAGTTTACACAGGCAGCTCCCATTATAAAATGCAGGAATTTACAAAGGGAGAGGCTTTCAAAAAGCAAACACATATTTGCTAACACAGGTTAGTTTGATTCCTGTAACTGAACATTAAATAAAACAACAGTTTCTACAAGGTATATGTCACACTTAAAGATCATGACATGTTTCTACCCCCTGAAAGGACATAAAATATAGGAACAGGAGTAGGTTATTTGGCTCCTTTGCTCTGGACTCCTCTGCCATTCAATAAGATTGCAGATGACCTGACTTGCCCTCAGCTCTACTTTTCTGACAGTTCTCCATAAGCCTTGCTCTCCTATATAATTCAAGAATCTATATACTTCAGTGTTGAAGATATTCCATGTCTTAGCCTTCAGGACTCCAATTTAGAGAATTCAAAGTTTCATGACACTTTGATGAAATTCCTTCAAATTATTAATAAAGAAAGCTTGCATTTATGCTAGCAATCAGTGCATTTTTCAAATGTTGACATGTCAGTTAGGTTTTTTGTTCTGTTTAGCCTATCATCTTGTTAAAAAAAAAAATCATTCACAAGACATGGGCATCATTTATTGCCAATCCCTAACTGCCCTTGAGAAGGTGGTGGTAAGCTGCCTGCTTAAACCTCTGCATTCTGGAGAGACAAGACCTTTGACAGTGCAACTGTCTTTGTACAACACTTGGAAGAATAGCTTATATTATCTGCTCAAGTCTGCACTCTTTTAAACTGATAGTAAAGCTCTCTCTAACCTTTTGAACTGAAAGTAAAGTTTCCCCTACACTGTCCCTATGGAATGTGACTTGAGCCCAAAACCCTTCTAACTCAGAAATGGGAGTGTCATTGGTGCATACCATGTGGCTAATCTCAGGTTAGCCACAACAATCCCTAGTTTTGGGGCAACGTAAGAATTAGCCTGATATTTAAATGCATTAAACTTGCGTAATTTTACAGTGAGTTGACAGCACATCTGTTCCAGGAACTAGGCTGTGACTGCCCAAACTCATTGCACACAGGGTTCTTACAATCAGCAGACAGAAGAAATCTTTGTCTGCATAGCATATGCCTATTTGCCTACTATTACTTTAAGTACTTACCATAATCTGTGCGAGGACGAGAACTATAACATTAGATGATTTATTGCTGGAGATTGCGTAAAAAAACTAGGAGAGAAACAAACAAATATTAAATTAAACCAGATCAAAGATACAGAAAAGCTGCTTACCAGGATAGTACCACAAGAACACAAGAACTAGAAGCAGGATTAGGCCGTCTGGCCCTTCAAGCCTGCTCCGCCATTCAATAAGATCATGACTGATCCTTTCGTGGACTCAGATCCACTTACCCGCATTCTCACCATATCCTTTAATTCCTTTATTGTTCAAAAAAAATCTGCCTTTTTTTTAAAAGCGTTTACTGAAGTAGCGTCAACTACTTCACTGGGCAAGGAATTCCACAGATTAACAACCCTCTGGGTGAAGAAATTCCTTCTCAGTTCAGTCCTAAATCTGCTCCCTCTAATCTTGAGGCTATGCCCTCTTGTCCTAGCTTCACCTGCTAGTGGACACATCCTCTCTACTTCTATCTTATCTATTCCCTTCATAATTTTATATGTTTCTATAAGATTCCCCTCAATCTTCTGAATTCCAATGAATATAATCCCAATCTACTCAGTCTCTCATCATAAGCCAACCCGCTCAACTCCGGAATCAACCTAGTGAACCTCCTTTGCACCCCCTCCAGTGCCAGTACATCCTTTCTCAAGTACCAAGGATGAGACTGTGAGAGGGTGCAGAAACTAGAGAAACTGCGATTATTCTCCTTTTGTTTCTATATAGTAACCATTACCGTGCTTTTTGACTGTTGCATCATGAAATCTTTTATTACTCAATCTTCCCCAGACTCCACCATATAACAGTCTTCTCCTTTGGTCTTCCTGTCTAGACATTCCTGTCCGTGTCTTAAAAACCCTTCAATTTATTTTCCTATCCAGTTCTGATGAAAGTTCACAGGCCTGAAATGTAAACTGTCTCTCTCTCCACAGGTGCTGCCTTACCTGCATACTTACAGCATTTTCTGTTTTTATTGCTCTCCTTAGAACTCAGAAGCTTAAGCAGAGATTTAATAGAGCTGTTCAGAATTATAATGGTGGGTTGTTCAAAGGATCCATCACCATTTGTCAAGATTAACTAGGGATGGGTAACAATGGCCTTAATGACATCCACATTAATTTCAACTCTAACAAGATAATGATGAACTAACCCAAAGTTAATCAGGAAAATAAATGCCTAAAGGTCACAGTGTTGTGAGACAATGCATGTGTTTGTGTGTGATTATAAGCATAAGCATGTAGATGGATACACGTATCTGAAATTACATGTGAGATAGTGACTGATTGAGATCACGAGTGCATAGATATATATGAGTGCATACATATATTTAGGAGTGAGTCTTTATTTGCATATAAATGATAGTATATTTCCTTACACAGATATATGTAAGTGCACGAGAGAGGATTTGTGTGAGAGACAGTATCTTCCCATGCAGCTTTCTTCAGCTTCTTTCTCTTCTTATGTTCTACTGTTTGTTGGGTTTATATCTCTGTGCTGTTCTGATTCTGTTTTTGCTCATATTTTTGCCTCTCCTCAATGGGTTGTCAGTGTCTGGAATTCACTGCCGGGGTTGATCGTCGGGGCAGAAACCCTGATTGAGAAGGTGCCTGCACCTGCATCTGAAGTGCTGTAACCTGCAAGGCTATGGACCATATGCTGGAAGGTGTAACCAGAATGGGTAGCAATGGGTGGCAAGTCTCTTTTCACTTGATTTACACAGACACAACGGTCTGAATAGTCTCTTTCTATGTGGTTACTTTTCTGTGGTCCCTCCTACTTCTTCTTGAAGTTATGGTCATCTTGCTCACTGTTCTCTTAAATTCTTCTTGTCCACTACTTCCCGTCGAGAGCAGTGGAGGTGGGGCGATTGAATATATTCAAGGATGAGCTGGATAGATTTTCGATCAGCCAGGTAAGAGTTGAGGCCACAATCAGATCAGTCATAATTTTATCAAATGGCAGAGCAGGCTTGAGGGGCTGAATGGGCCACTCCTGAACCTAGTTTTTTTGTTCTTGTTCTGCTGTTTCTTTCCTCTTCCCCTGCTCAAATGAAATGGTTGCTAATAGGATCCACAGTACATAATGAATTTAGGGGTAACCGGGAGAGGGATCTGGTCAGAGCCAATGAAAAGGGGAAGGGATCAGGTCCATGTCGAAAGAAACAGAAGTCTATCCCCAGTATTATAGTGAAGCGTGCTACAGTACCTCCGAGTCATAAATTGAGAGCTGGGAAGACTGTAAGTTAAGGATATAATGAATATATTGTTAGCAGCGTTGTATTTCAAACCTGACAACCAGCTATAACAGATAACCGTGACAATGTGAACTGTGCTCTAGAAGCAAGGGAATTTATAAATGAATAATATAAAAATCGTACAATAAATGCAGTTACACATGAACCTGCACAAAATACACAGTAAAAGCTAAACTTAGTTTTTCTACATACCTTGGTGAGTGTTATCAACAGGCCCCGAATAGAGGTGACAATAATAATTCCCACAAGTATAAAGGAGATGTGTTGAGACCAAAACTTCACCTGCATTCAAAGGAAACCAACATGAACATTCCTACCTAAAAACAGAATGCTTCCCCACTTTTTTCAGAAACCAGGAATCATGAGTAAATGCACAAAAACCCAAAGCTAATACAATCTTACAATGAGAAAAATGACTTCCATAATCTCAGGACATCTGAAGTGCATTCCTGTCAATAAAGTGTTTTCTGAACTGTAATCATCATTATAATATTGGAAATGGAGCAGCTAATTTGCACACAGGAAATTCTCACAAACAGCAACGTGGCAATGATTGGACCCATCTATTTTTGTGATTTTGATTTAGGGATAAATATTGGTCAGGACACCAGGGAAACACCTCTCCTATCCTCCAAAAATGTAGCCATAGGATAATTTACGTCCACGTGAAAGGGCAGATGATGTCTCAGTTTAACATCCCTTCCTAAAATTGGCACCTCCAACAGTGCAACACTCCCTCAGCACAGCACCTTTGACTTTTGTCTCCAAGTCCTGGAATGGGACTTGAATACATAATGCTCTGACTCAGAGGCAAATGTGTTAACCGCTGACAATTAGGGGGACACATAGACAAATGTTAGTGGAAAAAATAAATGTTTTGAACAATATATAAAATGTGCTAACAGGATTAATCAATGCACAATTAGGTGACACGACTAAAAGGCCCACATTAGAGGAAGTTGAAATTTGAGGAAACCAAAAGACCTTGGTTTTTAATTCCTGACTCAATCATGAAAAAGAGATCAAAATAAGCAATTAAAAATGTACAGCAGTATTCACAATTGATTGGTCACTCACACTAAAAGTTCAAGAGGAATCACAATCCACTGTTAACAATTCTTAAGCAGGCATGTGGATTTAAGGTTACAATCAGATCAGCTATGATCTTATTAAATGTCAGAGCACGCTTGTAGGGCTCAATGGTCTACTTCTGCTCCTAATCTGCTATATTATACACAGCTGTTACATTTCAAAATTGTCTTTGCTCCCCTGTCAGGCAAAATGTTGGTGTCAAATGAAGAGCTTCCCTAAAACTGCTCTCTGTTTGATTAATGATTGGAAGTGGTTAAGCACAAAAGGAATTGAAAATTTTATATAAATATCACAGTGCATTGTGATGTGGAATGCACTGCCTACAAGGGTAGTTGAAGCAAATCCGTTAGTAACTTCCGAAATGGAGTTAGATAAACAACTGAAAACAAAAAATTTGATGGCTATGGGAAAGAGCTGGGTAGTGGCACTAACAGGATAACTCTTGTCAAAAGACCTGGCACAGGCATGATGGACTGAATAGTCCCCTCCTGTGCTATAAGAATCTATCCCATATCAGAATCACAAGATGTCAGCACCTGTTACTTCAGATATGTGTAAATTAATGAGGACTTGATTAAAACTTTGTATGTGACCTCCATGATATGCCAACAATGCAACCTTCAAACAAAAAAGCTTTGTATCTCATGCATTGAGTGTCAGTCTTTTGATTACTAAATGGCTTTTCCCTTACTGCTGAACTCTACTTATGTTCTAAACTCTTATCTGAAAAAGTTGATGAAACGTGGCAACTGTGAGCTAGACAGTTTTAAGTAATAACTCTTCAGTTTAACAACCAGAACAATAGGGGACTTACTTTGCGTTACTTATTGTCATCACAAGATGACCATTCTTAAAAGGACAATTTCAAGATCCAGAAATCAGATGTCACATTGGGCAATACTCATACTTACATCAAACTGAATGCCTAAATAGTTCACTGTGATCTCTATACCACGAGTGACCGGGTCTGTTTTACCAACTCGATCGAAGACGATATTTATGGTTGCCTGAAAGTTAATTGGGGCAGAAAAGAAAACGAAACATCCAAGAAGATCAGGCTTAATTACAATTAATTAAAATTCAGTTACAACAGAGTTTGTCTGTCTTTAAATTGCTTAAATAAAACAATTAGATCACATAAAATAACACAAAATGTCAGATGTAAAATAGCAGAATGCGATTCGAAGACAAATGAGTATAAACTTTGTAGCATCAGATTTAATGTGGGCATTAAGAAGATGCAACATCTGCCCATTTACCTCCTCCCTCCTCACCATCCAAGGCCCCAGTCACACCTTCCAGGTGAAGCAGTGATTTACCTGGACTTCACTCAATCTAGTCTACTCCATTCGCTGCTCATAACATCGTCTCCTCTACACTGTGGAGACGAAATGCAGACTGGGCTTTACAGAATACCTATGTTCTATGAACAAAAATGACCCTGATTTCCAGTTGCCTGCCACTTCAACACATCTACTGTATTCCTGGCTAACATCTGTGTCTCGGGAATGCTGCAATGCTCAAATGAAACTCAGTGCAAGCTGGTAGAACAATGTCTCATTTTCTGCACGGGAACCCTACAGCCTTCAGGACTCAATGTCGAATTCAATAATTTTAGGGCCTGAGCACCTTCTACCATGTCCTCGCGCCAACCCCCACATAGCAGGCCTTGTCATCACAGGAGCTGCTACCACAAACAACCCACAGTCAGCCACTAACTGTTCCCAAAATCAACTACTGATTCGTCCAGGTTGACCATTACTCATTCCCTTTGTCTGCCCAATTGCTGTTCTCTCTTTCCACCTATTGTTCACTCCTCTCCCTTCACCCCACTCCACCTTCAGCATATAAACCAACCTTTTCCTAGCTACAATCAGTTCTGAAGTAGGGTCACTGGATGTGAAACATTAACTCAGCTTCATTGCCACCCCTGCTGGGTTTTTCCAGCAATTTCTGTTTTTGCAACTCATTGAGTCCTTTGAAGTAACTTTGCTGTATTGAGCAACAAAAAAGCATAATATCAGGTTAAAGTCCTAAGACCATAATAAGGCCATGACAAATAAGAACAGAAGTAGGCCATTCAGTCCCTCAAGCTGACTCTACCATTCAACTGTATCATGGTTGATCCAACATTCCTCACATCCACTTTCTCGCATTTTCCTGTGGGCCTTCGATTCCCCTACTAATCATGAATCTATCCATCTCAGCTTTAAATACATATAGCCCCTCAAATCTATTCTACCAATCAATTAGAACATGACTGATCTACAACTTCTATCCACGTGCCTTGGTTTTGTAGTCATTAACAACCTTAAGCAACAAAAATTTACCAATCGCAGTTTTGACATTTTCAATTGACACTCAAACTCAACTGCTTTTTTGCAGAACAGAAGTAGCTCCAGATGTCCACAACCCTTTGGTTGAAGGATAATATAAATTTATGCTGTACAGAAATCAAATATTGATTGAAATACAGAGATTTCTAAATGGTAATTCAGTAATAAATTAGCTAAAGCCCTAGCTTTGACAGATTGCCTTTAAAACAGCAATGAAACAGCCAGAGCAAATCTTTCCACTAACTTAACGTAAGTGCAAAAGACTAGGGCAGGCAATGAAGACGCTTATAACTAGAACTAAAAAATCAGAATAAATGCACCATCCAATCTTACACCTAGAATACGACAGGACCTGTTAATTCTTGCAGATATTTTCATTTTAACCATCGATATAAGGCTGTGATAATACATACAGCAGTACCCAGTAACAAGACATTGAACAAGAAACAAAGCATGGCTTTCAGTTTTCTAAGACTGTCTTGAGGGGAAGAAAATTACATCACATTTTGATGTTTTTCAAACATGCAAAGTTATTGAAATGATAGATGAAAGGGTGTTTGCTGGATATAACATAAATCATCAACATTTCAAATAATGCAGTTGGATTGGATGCATTCTTGGCTTGGGGATAAATCACATTTTATAAATGGTAGAGATAACACAGTGTGGCATTGGAGGAACACAGCAGGCCAGGCAGCATCAGAGCAGCAGGAAAGTTGACAAGTGGATTAGCAGTTAACATGCAAGTGGACCGTGCAATGTCCTTACTGCTATTGATTTGCCGGAGCTCCCTGGGATCATTTTTCTTATTTGGACTTCATTTTACTCCTTATACAGGAGAATACATGGCTGTGGGAAGGTAGAGGTATTAGAAAGACGTGTCTAATTGTAAAACACCATGAGGGCAGGCTTGATGGAACAACTACTGTTTTACTAACCATCAATTTTGCACAAAATAACTGATGGTGCTGTAGAAACTCTGCAGGTCTGGCACCATCCATGGAGAGAGAAACAAGTTGATGTTACAAGTCCAATATAACTCTTCTTCAGAACTGAAAGAAACTGAAAAATTGAGCTTTTTATGCCGCTAACAGAGGGAGAAGAGGAGTAAGTGGAACACTTGTTGAGCAATACAAAGGCAGTACTAACATTGCAAAGGAGCAATGGAGTTGTAAAACGATTGTAAACGAAGGTTTAAAAAGGCTCCTTAGTTCAGGAAATCCAGCACCTTACAATTAGAGTCAGGTCATTCAATGGTTATGTCAAGAAACACTTGTTCACACAAAGGATGTATGGAAATCAGAAATTCTCTTAGCTAAGGCTGAGGAGCAATTGAAATTTTCAAAAGTGAGACTGATGGATTTTTATTGGTTAAGGGCATTAAGGGCTATGGAACCAAGGTAGGCTGGTGGAGCTAACATAAAGACAAGCAAAGATCTGACTGAATGGTGGTACAAGCACAAAAGGGGCTGAATCACCTCCATTTATCTCAACGTAGCACAGAAGTTCCATTGAAGAGTGGGAGCTATAAAGTCAGCCAGTGAGGTGACAAGCGCTGGACAGAAGGCGTGAAAGACAAGCTTACTTAAGTTACTTAGGTATCAAATTCTGAAAAAATCTGGACTGGAATTCAGTGGCTTATACTCACCAGGCAGCAACATGTAAATAGGTCAAGATGTTGCATAAGATTTATATAAAACAAAAAGAAGCAAGTTCCCTAGGAGTTATAATGCTGGGGTTTGTGGTTTGGTTAACACTGTAAATGCATCCAAAACCCCAATCTTTCCCCTTACTACAGTGGGCATCAAGCCATCTAGCAGAGTTACACTCACCATGAAGATCTTCCAGACACAATATATCGAGAAAAAGTAACCCAAGAAATTGAAATATTTTCCTTGAAATGTTTTTGAGTATTCAATTCTTTCCTGTAAAAGATAAAAGTAGTATCAGGCTTTTACCACCATGTTTCTGCAGCTCTAGGATGATTCTGTAATGGTGAGAAAGTACAGACGTCAATCCCATAACCCTTCAAGAAGATTTGGAATTTGCTCAATCCACTTATTTTCCATTCATATACATGATACTTTTGTTGAGCATGACTGCATCAGTGCAATTCCATTTTCTTAGATCAAGTGGATCAAAGGTAATGAACAATATGAAGCTGTGTAAAAGATTAACTTAGTTTGAATTAATGCCCAAAGAAGTTATGTGAATCCATTTTAGAACAGTGGTTAAGGCCTAGCAAAAGCAGATGTCAAGGCATTGGATAAGGTGCGGAGAAGATTGAATACCGACTTTCAAAAGGGGTAAATATTGGAAAGTGGATAATGGTACAACTGTGGGGAAGAACACAGGAGTAGGACTAATTGAATAGGTCTCTCAAAAGACCCAGCACAGGTATGATGGGCTGACAGGCCTCCTTCCATGCTGTAAGCTTCTATCCCACATCTTCCAGCAACTTAAGAGATCTGTAAATTAATGAAAATTTGCTTAAAACTTTCTATGTAGCTGCCACAGTTTGCAACCATGCCTCCAACAAATACAGTGGCTCTCATCTGAAGTGAATCTATGATTTGATACAGGAAATGAACCATCATCCACATCATACATTATTCTGATTTCTTTTCAATCATGCCACCATCAATTCCTATCATGCCTGTATTTTCACTCAGTAGTAGGGAAAACATGTTGATGTTACTTAAAAAATATTGCTTCCCATCACATTGAAGTTATAAAAGGTCTAAGCACGAGCAGCAAATATCCAGGTAACAGTAAGGAGTACAATAAACAAGAGACTTTGGGACAAAATCAACAAGCTCCTAAGCTGAGTTTTCAATATTTTTCTTCTTGTCTTAAAACGTTATAGGGTCAGATTGTATTTATAACACCAGCAGATCTCCTTTGACATTGTTAGGCAGACTCGCTTTCAGAAAGACTACATAATGATGTATCATGCAATGTAAAATATACAACTGGAGCAGCGTTACTTTAATGCTGTTGAAATCAACCAGTAAACAAGATTCACTTATTAGGAATTCAATTAGTGGTTTGATGAATTAATTTTCCAAGCTAAAATGTAACTGTCAGATTAAGCCAGCAGACTTAACACGCAACAATCTAAACTGTCACCCTTTGTACAGTACTGAAAATGCGTTGCACTGCCAGAGGTACAGTCTTTCAGATGAGATATTAAATCAAGAGCCCCATTTACCTTCTCTGTTTATTGTGAAATGGGGGTTAGTTTAACTCAATTGGCTGGAGGGTTGGTTTGCGAAGGAGAGTGATGCCAACAGCGTAGAGTCAATCCCCACACTGGCTGAGGTTACCATGATGGACTCTACTTCTCAACCTCGCCCCTCGCCTGAGGTATGAAAGCCCTCAAGTTAAATCACCACTAGTCATCTCTCTCTTAGTGAGAGAGCAGCCCTACATAGTCTGGTAAGACTATGGCAACCTGACTTGACTTGAATGTGAAATTTGCCACTATTTTCAAAGAGGGCAGAGGGATTCTCTCCAGTGTTCTGGCTAAAACTGATCAGTTAATTAACAAAGGTGAAAAATAGATCACCTGATCATTACCATATGCTGTCTGTAGGAACTATCTGGTTGCACATTGGCTATTTTGCTAGCTACATTACAAGTTACTGAAAGTACTTCACTGGCTGTACACCACTTTGGAGGTTAGGAAAGGCACTACAGAACTGCAAGTTCATTATTTCTTACTTTCTGCAGTTCTTCATTCCATGCACAATGTATACTATTCCCCTTAACATATTAGTCAATCATCCAGGTGGACAGGCCATCGCTTTCACCTGAAGGAAGGCTGCAGGATAAGAAATGATTCAGTATAATACTTTTAAAATTTACAACTAAATGGTTAAACCTAGGCAGAAGTAGAGTTGTTTGGATGATAGCAATTAGTTTCAATAGACCCAAAACTGAAGCTGCAGCACCATCACTGGCCAAGAAGGCATTATTACAGCAACCAGATTTACGTGGAGAATTTGCATTAGAAAAGTGCATCCAAGAATAGATAGCAAAGAAAAGAAGACAAAAAAAAACTAATCAGAAGTTGTGACCAGAACAAATCCAAAATGAAGGGGGAAGTAGATTCAACATCAGCCCTCAAAAGACAAATTGGGTATGTATTTGAAAAGGAGATTAAAATGCAGGGATAAAGAGCAGGGCAAATGAGACTAATTAGATAGTTCTTTCATAGAGTTGGCACAGGCACAATGAGCTGAACAGCTTCCTTCAGTGTTGTGACATTATACAAATAAGTCATTTTGATTACATGAAAGTGTGGAAGAATTTTAATATACTGTAGAAAAGTGACTTTTGACCATTTTCAGCAGAACAAATCCTCGTAAACACTGAGTGAGCAATGATATGTTTGTTCTGTTTCCAATGATGGTCTAAGGGTCCACTTAATCAATACCTTAGTTGCATGAAGATCAACTGTTTCGAGAAACAACTGTCGGCTCAATTCCTCCAGTGCATCTACTTCTTGCTGAATAAGTGAGAGATCTGAAGAGAAACATTAAAGAAAGCTCAAAATAAACAGAAACAAATTCAGTATGGCACTCATAAGATGGACTTTTAACTACAGTAGGGATAGAGAGTCTTGTGCAAGTATAACACATGATGAAGGAAATGCCTATGATTCTGAAACACTGACAATAAACAATATGTGCATGCTTCCAACATACTTCAAGAGTTACTGTGCCTAGTTATAGTTTTCATCTTGCACAAGGTTATAAGGGCATGCAAGGAAGTGCAATAATGTATCGGAAATAAGACGTTACATCTATCAGAAAGGGCGACTTGATAGAGATCTTTAAGATTATGACAGAGTTTGATAGTTTTTCTACGCTTGCACTGTCTCTACTTGTGGAGGGGTCCATAAATAAGGAGATACCCACAAATACATGTTACAGGGAATTCAGAAAAACGTCATTATCCAGAGAGTGGTGAGAACATGGAACTTTCTGCCACAGGGAATGGTTATGGTGCACCACAGATACATTTCAGGGAAACTTGATAAACTTGAGGGAGAAAAGGAATAGAATTTTTAAACTTATATACTTTAAGAGATGCTGGTATTGCTAGCTAAGCAAGAATTTCTCGCCCATTTCTAGCCATCATTGAGAAAGTGGTGATGAGCCACTTTCTTAAACCAATACAGTCAATGTGGTATAGATACACCTACTGTGTTGTTAGGGAGGAACTTCCAGAATTTTGATCAAGTGAAAGGCAAGGTATAGCAATATTATTCCAAGTAAAAAATTGTGTGGTTTGGAGGATGGTGCTGCTCCTGCGCATCTGCTGCCTTCGTTCTTCTAGGTGATGGCGTGTTAGGTTTGGAAGGTGTTGTTCCTATCAACAAAGACCTTGGCAAACCGCTGTAATGAATCGCATAGATTCCACCATTGTGCATTGGTGGTGGAGGGAGCGAACGTTTAAGAAGATGGCGGTGCAAATCAAGTGGGCCACTTTGTATTGGATATTGCCAAGCTTCTTGGCACTGCACCCATCCAGTTCAATGGAGAGTATTCCATCATGCTGCTGACTTGTGCTTTGTACGAGCACTGTGGATTCAGGTGGTGAGTTAAGTGCTACGAAATTCTCAACACGTGACTTGCTCTTATAGTGATAGTATGTATATAGAATCACCAGAGTAGAAAGAGGCCATTCGGCCCATCAGATCTGCAAAGACCCTCCAAAGAGGATCCCACCCAGACCGAGCTCCCACCCTATCCACGTAAATTGCATTTTTGCCTTGGCTGATCCACCTAGCCTGCACATCCTTTGACACTACGGGCAATTTAGCATGGTCAATCCACTTAATCTGTACATCTTTGGAATATGGGAGGAAACCAGAGCACCCAATGGGAACCCACACAGGTATAGGGAGAACGTGCAAATTCCATACAGTCACCCAAGGCTGGAATTGAATCCAGCACTGCAAGGTAGCAGTACTAACCACTGAGCAACTGTGCTACCCAATTCAGTATGCCTGGTCCAATTTAGTTTTTGGTTAATTGTAACCTGCATGATGTTGATAGTTGAGAATTCAGCAATAGCAATGCCATTGAATATCAAAGGATGACAGATTCTGTCTTGTTGGAAATGGTCATTGTCAGGCATTTGTGTGTCATGAATGTTTCTGCCAGTTATCAACACAAGCCTGGATATCGTCCAGTCAATACTTCAAATGGGCACAAGTACCTTCAACACCTGAGGAATCGCAAATGATCTAAATATTGTGCAATCACCAGAAGGTTGGGAGGAGGTTTATGTGGAGTTAAACACTAGCACAGACAGATGGGACAAACGGTCTACTTCTCTGCTGTAAATCTTTATGCCATGTGATAGAACAGCTTGAAATCTGTGCAAAATCACAAAGCATTTCAACATTTCTAGTTCCAGAAGGCGGAATTACATTTAGTCACTGTAAAAGGATATTTTCACTGTTGGAAGATGATGATGTCACACTTTTAATCATTCCCCAAAATCCTGCAGGATTATTCAGCACCTCTCCACGTTGGTGCATCATTCTCCTGGTCATAGCGATTCTATCAGGGAACCAAAGAATTAAATCAGATTAGACTTCTTACAGGTGACAAGCATGTTACCAAGCAAAGCACAAACCCACCAATCAGAAATGTTATCCAGATCTCAACAGACAGCAAGCGAAGGTACTGTTGACAAAAACCCAGGTCATTATAAAATCACATCAGAATTCTGAGTCAGGATATTCAATGACACTAAAACAGAAGAAATATACCACGGGTGCTGGAAATCTGGAATATAATCATGCTGGACACACACAGGTGTGGCAACACCTGTGGAGACGGAAACAAAATCAACTTTTTTGATAGAAAATGACTTTTCTTTCATGCTTTAGGTTGACAACAGAAGGCACGATATAGAAAACAGTTATTCTAACTACTGTATGTTTCTCACTGAACAGGTACAGTTACTGCGCAACTGATGATTCCATTGGAATTGCCATCTTTATCAATTGCCCAAAGTTGTTCAACAACACACAAGTCATTGATATCCTATTCATTGTACAGCTCTGCTGGATATCTAGGAAAGTTAAAGGTTAATAATCAAACTTCCTTGAATTGTGAAATGATAGGCCTTCCACAATAATTGGCATGGTTTACCTTCTGCTTTTAGTGCTCAAGTATTATATACAAGACATCTTTACTGTCATTTCATTTCCTTGTGCAATGACATCATGCCTGGGTGTTTGAAGTATAATATTGTTGTTAGTGTAATAACAAGTACAGGAATCTATTAACTGCAATACAGAAAGATAATGGTTAATATAGCCTATTCTTCTAAGGATTCAGAACAATTAAGTTAGGAAGTCATGTTTGATGGGTGTTGCTTTGGAATAAACAAGTACCACTGTTCACACAAGCAGACTGCAGAGAACTTAAGAAGAGAAACATTATGAGATTTTTATCTGTGACTTAGAATCAGGTGAGTAGGGGTGAATCAGCTTTTTAACTCCTTCAGCTAGCTGAATCAAAAATATTTAAATGCTTTGATATTGCAGATATATCACACTTAAAACACAGCTCGCCTATGCAAAAATTAAACACCTAGTTGCAAGTCTTTCTTTAGAAAAAGAAAGAGGAATATTATTGCTTACTTACCTGAGAAAAAAAAACACAGCATGAAACACACAAAAATAAAGATGTAAAGTTTAAAATGGAGAGAATGTCTAGTACAAATAGGAAGATCAAGAATATGCCATTAAAAGGTACTTAGAGCTGTCATAGTGTGAGGTTTAACCTGAGATGGTCGTTGTTAATTGTTATCTTCTATAGGAGCAAAGTTTATGGATGTTTCTCTGCTTTGATTATCAATGGGTTGAGAGAAAGAGGTAAAGAGAGAGAGAGAGAGTGAGAGAGAGAGAGAGAGAGACAGACAGAGAAAGAAAAAGCTAAACTTCCAGTTCTGCTGTTACAAATCATCTCTCCTGTGTCTTTTTTTTATTCTTTGGATGTGGGCACTGCTGGATGAGCCAGCATTTATTTTGCCCAGAGGGCAGTTAGAGACAACCACATTGCTAGGAGTCTGGAATCACTTGTAGGCCAGACCAGTAAGGACAGTTATTTCCCTTCCTAAAGGACATTAGTGAACCAGTTGGGTTTTTCTGACAATCGACAACGATTTCATGGTCATCATTAAACTCATAATTTCAGAATTTTTTTATTGAATTCGAATTCCACCATCTGCTACGATGCGATTCCCAATACAGGCCCTCAGAACATTATGTGGGTGCCAGGTTTAACAGTCTAGTAACAATACCATTAGGCCATCATATTCCGTCAGCTGATTTCATTGTTTCTTCCCAAGCAAGATAACCTGCAGGCACTAAAACAAACCGAAGAACTGCGGATGTTGGAATCATAGAACTCCAATAGTGCGGAAAGAGGCTATTCGGCCCATTGGGTCTGCACCGACCCTCCAATAAGCATCCCACCTTATCCCCGTAATCCCGAATTTCCCATGGCTAATCCACCTTCCTGCACATCCCTGGACACTACGGGGCAATATAGCATGGCCAATCCACCCAACCAGCACATTGTTGGACTCTGGGAGGGAACTGGTGCAGCTGACAGCAATCCATGCAGACACAGGGAGAATGTGCAAACTCAGTGCAAACAGTCACCCAAGGCTGGAATTGAACCTGGTTCACTGGCACTGTGAGGCAGCAGTGTTAACTACATGGTCACCATGCTGCCTGGCATGAAAATCAGAAACAAAAAAGAAATTACTGGAAGAACTCAGCGGGTCTGGCAGCATCTCTGGAGAGAAAGCAAAGTTAACTATTTAAACTCAGTGACTTTTCTTCAGAACTGATTGTAGCTAGGAAAAGGTTGATATATGTGCTGAAGATGGGGAGAGGGTAAGCATAAACAATAAATGGAGATGGAGCTCAGAGAGAGAGAACAATAGTTCAGCAGACAAAGGAATGGATAAAGATCAGCCTAAGAGAATCAATAGCTGATCATCGGGATCATTGGCAGCTTACAATGGGTTGGTTGTGGTTGCAGCACATATGATGACAAGGCCTGATGTGTGGGGGTTAGGAGAAGTACATGGGACATGATGCTCAGGTCCTAAAATTATTGACCTCAATATCAAGACTTGATGGCAGCAGGGTCCTGAAGCGGAAAATGAGGTGTTGTTTTTCCAGCTTTCCCTGAGCTTTGCTACAGCACTGCAGCAAGTCAGAAACAGAGATGTTGACAAGAGGAACACAGTGGTGTATTGAAGTTGCAGACAACTGGAAGTCTTTTTTGTGTACAGAACGTAGCTGTTCTCCAAAGTGGTTGCCCAGTCTGTGTTTCATTTCCCCAATATACAGAATACATTGTGAGCAACAAATACAATAGACTGGATTGAGTGATGTGCAGGTAAATCAGTTTCACTTGGGAAGTGAGTCGAAGGCCTTGGATAGTGAGGAGGGAGGAAGTAAATGGGCAGGAGTTTCAACTTCTGCAATTACATGGGAAGCTGCCATGGGGGTGTGGGGAGGTGTTGGAAGTGGAAGGGCAGTGGACCAAGGCGTCCCAGAGGGATTGGTCCCTGTGGAAGGCCGACAGGGAGTGGAATGTTGGATTGTGTTACACAGCATATTTGCACTAATGTCTGCAACAAAGAAAAGACTGACATACCCATCCAGTCTGTGCTCACAAAACCCACTATACAGTGCCTCAACATTAGATCTGATTCCACATTTGGTCAAGATTTGCTATATGATACTGAGTGCATGAAGAATTGCACTGACAATCAATTTAGGACTTTCACTCATGCTTTCAGTGCAGTGTATCTGTGAGCACTGGAAACTATGTCTATTAATACACAGGGCTCGGTCTTCACAGACAGAAAGAACACTTACACTTTCTACACCTGTTTCAAAACAACAAATTAAGTGACAGCCATTCTCTGGTTCATTTCTAACATCTTGACTAATCAGAGTCAATCTGCCTTGCTTAAAATTTAAACAAATCTTGGCAGTTATCTATCACTCATTATTAACCTGGTTTTATAAGTAGAGGCACACTGTATACAAGCAAGGACATCCCTGTAAATCTTTGTAAAACATGATTAAGTCTCAGGTATGTCCAACTCTGAGCCCCACACTTCACCACAGTAAAGACAGCAAGTCCTTGGAGAGGTTGCTAGAATACAAGGGAAGATGGTTTTCAGTAATGTGGAGAGTCTCAAGAAGCTGGGATTGTTGTCCTTCAAACAGGAAAGGGTAAAGGGAAATTTGATAGACATGTTCAAAAATTTGAAGGTTTAGATAGAATGAATAAGCATTTGCAGAGGATCAGTAACCCCAGAGAGCATGTATTCAAGAAGTCATCTTAAAAGAATCTTAAAAGGTGAGATAAGAAATTTTTCAACACAATAAGTTGTTGTGATCTAACATGCGTTGCCTGAAAAGGCAGCAGAAGCAGTTTCAGTCATAATTTTCAGAAGGGAATCAGCGAAATGCCTGAGAAGGAAAAAAATTGCTTGTAATTGGTAAAGAGCAGGGCATTGGGATTAACTAGATAAGTCTTCCAGAGAGCCAGCACAGACTTTAGATCAAAGGGCTCTTATTCCATTGCAATGTTCTATGAAGCACGATAGAAGGGACTGAAATTGAAAAAATGCATCATGTCTATTTAAAATCTTCACTACCGATATATCTCAGATTCTAATCCCATGTCTCTGTCCAGATATGCTGAGTGCTTCCAGCATTTTCCATTTTAACAGCAAATACTTCCACACTAAATTCAGCTGCCAAACCTGTGCTACAACAGCATCGCAAAGCACATACTGAGATACAGGCTGAGACTGACAGTTAGGGTATAAGGGCTGTCTCGCCAAGGCAGAAGATAGGTTACAGATTATCTGTGATCCAAATGGCTAATGAGGAACAGGCCTGAAACTGTGCATTGGCCAGTTTTGTTTTTGAAAAATAGCTCGTATGCTGAATTGCACTGTGCAGCTCACACAATGTGTAGACATGTAAAAGAGTATGTTTGTGTGTCTGTTATGTGTGAGAGTGAGTGAGTGAGTACATAGGGAGAGAGAGAGATGTAGACAATTCTTGCGGCATATTATGGAAATATTTTAAAGGGATCCATGTACTTTGGGATGTCTCCTGTCCATACATTATCTGAGCGACCAACAATGCTTTATGAGAGACTTCGAGTTTAAGACTCAACAGAACAGTCCTCTTAATTCAAATTATTTTAAAAAGCACAAATTACGTGTGATATTTAAAATAAATATGAGTTATAGAACTTTTCACGACTTAGGACATTGCAAATCATTCAGTTATACATAACTTTTGAGAGTGTATTCACTGTTGTCTTTGGAGAAACACAGGCAGCTAATATACATGTGATAATGACTAGGTCGTCTGTTCTAATTTGTGGGCTGAGGGATAAATATTGTCCTGGGTACCAGACAGAATTCCTCTGCTCTTCCGAATTGTGGATACGAGATCTTTTATATCCCTGAGAGGGCAGATAGCACGCTCGGTTTACAATCTCTTTTGAAAAACGGCACCTCCAACAGGGCAGTACTCCCTCAGTACTGGTCCTCCAAGTGCCTGGCTGGATTTTGCACTCATTCACTGCTGTGCAAGTCAGAACTACCCACGGAGGCACAGCTTAGTTGCTTAATTCAAATTATTGAATTATCTATTTTTAACTGAAATAATAGATCAGGGGACAGCAACTAATATAGGAGTTTTTGGTGTCAGAAATTTCTGCTTCCAGATAAATTGAATTATGATCCAAACCCAATATTACAATCAGGTGAAAGCCAGCTACCCATTCTTCAACATTAGTCTACATGTTCTTTGCTCAATTTTCTTTTTATCTGTCAAGTATCTGAACACTGACCTTTCTATTACAACATCAGCTATTCAAATGCATTATTCTCCTCAATTTTTGAGGCTGGAAAATTCCAGTAAGTAGTTAGCCAGGAAATAACGTTCAGCTTTGGTGAGTTTCTCTACTGCTATCTGTAAAACAGAACAATACGAAGCAATCTCCTATAAAACTCTGTATTCTTGCAAAGATATAAATGTCCCTCTTCCATATCTATTAAAATAATGCAAACTTACTGAAGATTATATCTTTCCACAAATTTTTCTTTTACAAATTAAAGAATTATTTGGACAGACTGAAGTAGATGATATTGCTATTCTTGTAGCGATGGTTAAGGGATGTTTTGACAGAGGTATTCAAAATTATGAAGAGACTTATCAGGAAATAAATAAAAGAGAAACTGGTTCCACTGCCAGCAGTATTGGTAACTAAAAGTTACAGCTTTAAAGTAATTTGCAAAAGAGCTTGAGGGCAGCTGATTTCTTTTTAATGCAAGTTTATGATAACAATGTGTGTGTTTGTGAAAGCTGCTTCAATAGTGGCTTTCAAAAGGGAACTGGACAATGAATTGAAAAGGAAAAGAATGCACACTGTGCAGAAAGGGCATGGAAGTTGGACTAATTGTATAGCCCTTTCAAATAAGCTAGTACAGGCATGATGGGCTGAATGGCCTTCTGTGCTGCTTTATTCTACGATGAATACTTTACCGATCTATCCAGCAAATTTGATTTAGTTTACACATGTGGTGAAAGAAGTATTTAAACAATCTATCTTTCTTGATATGTGTTTGTTCTCCTCTAATCAGTATGCAATACCAGACTTTTAAAAATGTCTTAAAACTTAAAATTTTTTCATGTTGTAAAAAGCAAAATGTTAAATGTGCTGCAAATCACACCCTAGAAAAAATGTAGCACTTCAGATAGTCCTCCCTTGAGGTATGAAACTGAAAATTTCAGCAGGTAACAAGTATCACAAACTAAATTGCGACAGATTTTCTTCCCATTGTTAGTTGTTCCTGCCCTCTACCTAAATTTCACAAGCCTTTTTCACCTTCTTTTGATTTTAGGGTATTCAAGCGTTCTTCAGTATTAATCTGATTGGAATAATCATTGTTATTTTACAGTAATAAGTTCTTTATGCAACTAATCTACGTGAATCAGTAATGTAGGTCAACAGACTTACGTTGCAAGGTAAGCACCATAACCGCACTGATCCGAGAATATGTACTTCCTGAGAACTTTAAATTGCACAGTAAAATGAAGAAAAAATTTCAGACTCTCGTTGCAATGCAAATAAACCACATCCCGTCAAAATTTGTATATTATCATATAACAATACTACACATTATTGAGAATATCAGAACAGAAATGAATGATCTAATATATGTTAAAGGAAACTGCTACAACCAGTTTGAGAATCATGTGTACAAGAAGTCCCAAGGAGAGAACAAACATTCATGAAATTTTCGAGAAAGGGCAGAAGGGCAAAATCAGCTAAGTGTCCTGGTTAATATTAGTCCTTCATTCAACTGATGACCTGATCATTATCACATTACTGTTGTGGAACACTGCTGTGTGCAAATTGGCTGCTGTGCTTCCTACAGGACAAAGTAACTAAAGCTGGTTGGCTTTTTAATGACCTGGGAATGTCCTAAGGTTGCAAAAGACAGTCATTCATTCTATTAATTGATGTTCTAAGCATGTCTCATGCCACAGACTAGGATAAACATCAGGTTGGGATTGAATTTCGTCTTCTAGAACTGCTACACATCAAGTCAGTAAAAATGGTTGTTTACACTGTAAAAACCCGGTCCAGGGATGAGATTGGCTGACAATAAAAGAAACAAATCAATAGGAAAGCTTGAAGTTCAGCTTGTGCTCTCTCAACTTTAGAATGTTAAATGATCTATTTGAGATATTTCAAATGATAAAAGAATGCATCAGGAGACAGATACACTATTTATTCTGGTGTAAGAATTCATGAAAACCTTAAAATTCAGAATCTTAAAGTCAGCAGTCATAATTTTAACACAATGGTAGTGGAAATCTGAAACTCTCCTCCCCTAAGGTGGTGGGGACTAAATGAAATCAAGATAGAGATCAAGATTTTTATCAGTAGAAGTATCAAGGGATATTAAAGGTATGAGAATGGGGTTATTAATCACCTATGTTCCAAGAAAATGGTGAAACAGCTCTCAAGAGCCAAATGGCAGACTCTTGTGCCTAAAAACCATGGTTTCCCAAACTGTGCGTTTTTGAGTCGTGTGCCAAAATTCTGGCATCTCAAGCTCCTACGCAGCAAAGACTCCCAAGGAGCCCTGACTAATTGGTAAGGGCTGTGTAGCCCCTTTAAATCATCAGCGTTTTTTTCTCAAAGTAGGTGTGGAATGTGCAGGTGAAACTTGAGACCTGAATGCTGCAAGGAAAAGCCCTATGGAGAAGAACATGCTATTTTAACTTCAAACTCTGCAAGTGAACTAGCTCGTTTCTGCTGCCCTGTTCCCACAGGTCTGGTTCTTGTCAATGACCATGACTCCAAAAGGACGTGACAACGGGAAAAATTCTGCAAAGCACTGCTATAAACTGTATCTCGATTAGATGCATCCAGCAGCTTGACAGTGCCACCGACTGGAGTTTAATAGTATGACAGCCATTGTACAGTCACCATAATACCCAGAACCACTTAAAATAACAATGGCAAACACAAGTGAAAATTCAGTGGACCTAAACAATATCTGCAAAGTAAGTCGGATTTAAATGCAATGCTGACACTTTAAAAGATAAATCACTCAAGGCACTTTGGTCAATACAGATACACAACAAACTACAATTATACTCTTGCACATTTCTCCCAGGTTTGTTTAATATCCAATCATAACAAGAGACTTCTTGCATAATATCTCAGAGTAAGATACAAATTGAATTGCAAACTTATTTTGAATAGTGGAGTTGCTCATGGGATATTTCAGGATACCAATTTCTCAAGGGATATTTGTCTGACGGAAATCACTGATAAGCACTCACCCATGGCTACAGCATCACAATTCAAACCACAGAATTAATTTTACTTGAAAATGCCTTAGACACAACCCAGATGAATGGGTTTCACACATCTAAATTTGCTTAATAAACCTCTCCCACTGTTCAGTAACCAAGGCAGTAAAGTATTCTCAATAATTAGAAAATCATGCACTCAGATTTTCCTCTTACTATTCTACCAACAATGTATAAAAAGATTCAAGTTTTCATGCAGAAGCTGTGTAAACACAAGTGTGAGATTGTAGGCCCAATTTCGCACTATACAGTTCTGTACTGGAAAAATAATTAGCAACATTAGCAATAGAATTAGTAAGAATTCCAAATAGCAACCTGTGCCAAGTGACCAGTAACTTGGCATAACTAATTTAAGGAGATGCTGTTAGTGAGCTGGGGGATAAAATGTTTTATTTGCTATACATAATTATAACACATTATTCCTTATTCATTTTTGCTCATTCATTAATTCTTCCTAAGCAGCTTAAATTTTGCTACAAAATATTCAAATTAACAGATAACTGACAGCTTCAAATCAAAAGAGAACTACGTTGAAACATAGCATTAGAAATTCCTCTTACTTAGCAAGAACAACTGTAATAACTATGTGATCACAATGCATTCCAGCATTTACAACATCATTAATTTCTCAGCACCTTCAGCCCAGTATCAGGAATTCTGGAAGATTCATGGAACTCATATAAACTAATTTTTTAGTTCATTCATATGATGTAGGTATTGCTGACAAGGTCAGCATTTATTGCCTATCCCTAATTACCCTTACGCCAGTGATTTTAAGCCCATTTTTAAACTGCTATAGTCAGTCCATCCGGTGTACACACGCAGGTGCTGTTAAGAAGCGAGTTCCAGAATTTTGACAGAGAACTACAATATATGTTTCCAAGTTAAAATACTGCACAACTTGGATGGGAATTTGACCTGACTGATAAAGAAATAGGATGGATTTAGTCCAATTTCCAATTTTACTAGTGACTAAACAGCTACTTATAATACTGATTCGATATTGCCTACTTTTTCTGATTTGAAGTTGGTGGTTACCTGTAAATTTGCGTTCAACTTTATTGAGGTTGGAAGACAGGAGGTCAAATCATCAGCAAGGTAAACAACAATGCTTTCAGGTGCCTGAGCCCTACCTCTGAAATTCCTTCCCCAAAGCTCTGTGCCTTGCTGCCTCTACCCCAACCTTTAAGACAATTCTGAAAAACCTTTTGAACATCTAACCTAATACCTTTTCCTGCTCCGAACACTCCTGAGGAGCATGTTTGCAAATTGTTATGATTGTTAAAGGTGCTATAAAAATGCAAGTTATTGTCCTGTTCAAATTCATGCATTTTTCAAAAAATGCATCCCAACTTTGAGAACAGAACAGTACAGAAAAGCTGCTGCCGTGTTATTGACAGTTCCTACCTCTTCTTCTTGCTGACAATCATGTCCATCGTCTGCAGCAATCGTCTCTCCAGTGCAAGAATATCACTATCGGTCACATTTCTTGGGATGGAGATAAAACGTAAGTTAAAAGGCATGTTATAAAATCAGATAAACGTCAAAGTGGGAGCTAAATAGCTATGAACATGCCTCAGCATTCACAGTGAAACAACCCACTGTTGTAGGAGACAGCATGGTTGAAGCTGAATGTTTTGGAGTTACGCTTGTCTGGAAGCTTTTCAGTATGGTTCATAAAGCAGTCTTTTAAAACATATTTGTAAGCAGGAAATCTTGTAGCATAAGAGGAGGCCATTTGATCCATCATGTGTGCCTTTGAAAGTTCCACTGAAGTAATCCCATTCCCGTTCTTTCCTTAGAACTCTGCAAATATTTCCTTTTCTGGTATTTATCCAACTCCCATTTGAAAGTTACTACCAAATCTGCCTCCACCACCCTTCAGGCAGCGCAATCCAGATCAGAAAAACTCAAGACCAACGCCAACATCCCTGCCTGCTTCTGGCTTTTAAAATATAAAGATGGTCTTTTTTTTTTTAAATGATGATCTCCTGCATTGCTGAGGAAATAACAACCTCTACATCGTGTAAACCTCAATACTCAACTATGAACCATTCTGTCTTCAAGCCTTCAAATCCTTTCCACAGAGACTTCTCTTGTTTTTGTTCATCTCAGACTCTTTCCCCTCAATCAGTCATTGTCTCTCCATTCTGTCTCTCTTCCACACATGCCTTGCACCCTATACTTCAATGATTTCCAATGTCTCACTTTAACTTGTTAAAACTCAGAGTTCTAATATTCTTCATTTTTAAATGGATGTAAGTGCCCACATATCATGAAGGTGGTTATTGGTTCAGTTTTTGAGATCAACACTGATAACTTTAAAATTTATTTTTTCATGGGATTTGGATGTCGCTGACAAGACCATTATTTATACAGTCAAACAGCGTCATAGAATCATACAGCATGGAAACCAGCCCTTTAGTCCAACCAGAGTATAATCCCAAACTAAAGTAGTCCCACATACCTGCTTTTGGCCCATATTCCTACAAACCTTTCTTATTCATGTACTTATCTAAATGTCTTTTAAGCATTATAACTGTAACCACCATCCTCTGGAAGTTCATTCCACACTCAAACCACGGTGTAAAAAAAACATTGCCTCATGTCTTTTTAAATCTTTCTTCTCTCACCTAAAACATACCCCCTAGTCTTGAACTCTCCCACACTAAGGAAAAGACACCTGCCATTTACCTTATTTATATTCCTCCATTATTTTATAAACCTCAACCTCCTATGCCCCAGTGAAAAAGTTCCAGTCTATCCAGCCTCTCTTTATAACTCAAACCCTCCAGTCCTAGCAACATCCTGGCAAATCTCTTCTGAACATTCTCCAGCTTAATAATACCCTTCCTATAACAGGAATGCCAGAACTGGACACAGTACTCCAGACGAGGCCTCACCAACGCACTGTACAAGCTCAACATGACATCCCAACTCCTTTATTAAAAGGTCTGAGCAACATAACCCACCTTATCTATATGTGATGTTACTTCAAAGAATTATGTACCTCAACCCCTTCGTCTTTCTGTTTTACAAGTGTCAAGGGTCCTACTTTTAATTGCGTAATTCTTGTCTTTGTTTGTGTTTCCAAATGTAATACCACGCATTTATCCAAATTAAACTCCATCTGCCACTCTTCAGCCCGTTGACCCAACTGATCAAGGTTTCTTTGTAATTTTCGATAACCTTCCTCACTGTCCAATCTCTGTGTCAAACTTACCAACCATGTTTTCTATATTCACAACTCAGTCATTTATATAAATGACAAACAACAGTGAACCCAGCACTGATACATGTGGAACACCACTGGTCACAGGTCTCCAATCTGAAAAAGCAACCCTCCACCATCACACACTGTCTCCTGTTAAGTCAATTTTGTATCAAGCTCACTCTGAATCCCATGTGATCTAACTTTACTAATTAGTCTACCATGTGGAACCGTGTCAAAGGCTTTTTTAAAGTCAAAGTAAATAATGCCTACCGCTCTGCCCTCGTCAATCTTCTTGGTTACTTCCTCAAAAAACCTCTAACAAGTTTGTGAGGCATGATTTCCCCTTGCACAAAACCATGCTGACTGTCCCTAATCATTCCTTGCCTCTCCAAATGCATATAAATCCTATCTTTCAGAATCACTTCCAACAACTTACCCACAACCGAAGTCAGACTCACAGGTCTATAGTTCTCAGATTTCTGCTTACGTTCCTTCGTAAAGGCACAACATTAGCCACTCTCCAGTCAGTTACAGATGATACAAGTATTTCTGCAAGGGGCCCTGCAATTTCCTCCCTAACATCTCACAAAGTCCTGGGATACACTAGATCAGGTCCGAGAGATTTATCTACCTTCATATTTTCTAAGACCTCCAAGACTTCCTCTTCTGTAACTGAACGGCTTTCACAACATTAATATTTATTTTCTTGAGTTCTCTAGCTTCCATTTCTTTCGCCACAGTAAAACCTGATGTAAAATCTCCATTTTATATCTCTCCCATCTCCTGAGATTCAACACAAAGACGACCTCTTTGATCTTTAAGGGGCCCTACTCTCTTGATGTGCATCCCCAATTACCTTTGAATAGAGTGGCTTGCTAGGCCATTTTAGACAACAGTTGATAGTTAAATTACCACACCCAACAAAATATATCGTATGTGACTTCCCAGGTATCGAAGCAGTTTGTGTCCACGTGCAGCAACATCTGGACAACATCCAGCTTGGGCTGATGAGTGGAAAGTAACAATTATGCCACACAAGTACCAGCAATGACCATCTACAACAAGAATGAATCTAACTGTCATTCCCTGATGTTCAATGACACTACCAATGCTGAATTGCTATCAATATCCTTGGGGATTACAATTGACCAGAAACTGAACTTGCCCAGCCATATAAATACTATATCTACAAGAGCAGGTCAGTGGCTAGAAATTCTTTAATGAATGACTCAGGTTTTCCAAAGCCTGTCCACTAACTACATGACACAAGTTGACAGTGTGATGGCATACTGTCTTTTTAGATACATGCAGCTCCAGCAATACTCCAGAAGCTTAATGCCAATCAGGAAGTAGCAGCATGCAATACTGGTGCCCCAATCACCTTCAATATTCACTCCCTTTGCCACCTAATGCACAGATGCAGCAGTATGTGCCATCTGCAAGATACAATGCAATAACTTACCAATACTTTCCCAACAGCACCTTCCAAATCTGTAACCTGTATCACCAAGAGGGTTAAAGGCAGTAGGTTTCCCCTCCAAGACCTGGAACTCTATCGCTATCCCATCACTGTTGCCCGGTCAAACTTCTGGAACTCCTTTCCTAATGTCACTGTGGGTGTCCCTGTACACCAATGACTGCAGCTCACCACCAGCTTCTCCAGGGCAATTAGGGATGGGGAATAAATGCTGGCCCAGCCAGTGACATCCACATCCCATGAACAAATACAAAAAAGGGAGTACTCGGATAGAATAGGGATTTTCAGTAACAATCAGCATCCTCACCTCAGAAAGTATGACATGTAGGTATACGGACAATTTACTGCGCCAAAGCCTGACAGCAGTGCCATTAGAGTGACACCAATGACCCCAACTCTGCTGATCAATTGTTCAATTGATAGAATGCCTGATGGAGAAAAGGAAAATAAATCCAAAATAAAAAGATTTGCACATTGATGATACAAGATTTTTAAAACAGAATGACATTTGTTACAAGTGAAGTTGGGCATTTGCACCTATTCCTTCTTAGCATTCACTGATTACAACACATTTTATATATTAGCAGGGTGATGATGTGGTCAATTATATTGGTCTCAGACAGTATTTTATTTATGATCAGAAACAAGTCAGCTAAGTTTTGTTTTTAAAATGTCAACAAATAATATTGAGTTTATTAAAATGAAACTTGGTCAAACAAACATGCAAAAATTACTGACAAAAATGGTTTAGATTACGCTAAGATAGACATAGTTAACATTGTAATATCCTGGACCTAGCACAGACAAACTATGATCAACCATCTCAAAGAAAACATCAAATAGCAAAAATAACCAAGCCAGAGCCAACAGATTTCTCAGCAAAGCACCCACCTGCCCCACCATGCCAATTCATTATTGGAACTATGGATCATCAATATATGCACAACTCCAGCTTTTCAGAAGCAGCATGCTTCAACAAGCCAACAGTGATCTTGGTTTGTTCCCTGAACTCTAATCTGGCTCACTACCTCTTGGCTTCCTTCACCCTAGTTCACATCTGCACCAAATTATTGATGGCACACAGCTTCTCTGAGCTCCCACAGCTCCAAGGACCTCTCATGAGTCTTAACTCCAACACTTAGCTGCCTACTAACAACTAGAATGTCCTCCTGAATTCTGACTGCAGGATGGTAAGGTCCTGGGGAGTATTGCTGAACAAAGAGACCTTGGAGTGCACGTTCTTAGTTCCTTGAAAGTGGAGTCGCAGGTAGATAGGATAGTGAAGGCGGTATTTGGTATGCTTGCCTTAATTGGTCAGTGCATTGAGTATAGGAGTTGGTAGGTCATGTTTTGGCAGTACAGGACATTGGTAAGGCCACTTTTGGAACACTGTGTGCAATTCTGGTCTCCCTACTATAGGAAAGATGTTGTGAAACTTGAAAGGGTTCAGAAAAGATTTACAAGGATGGTGCCAGGGTTGGAGGGTTTGAGCTGTAGGGAGAAGCTGAATAGGCTGAGGCTATTTTCCGTGGAGCATCTGAGGCTGAGAGGTCACCTTACAGAGGTTTATAAAATCATGAGGGGCATGGATAGGGTAAATAGGCAAGGTCTTTCCTGGGGTGGGGAGTCCAGAACTAGAAGGCATAGGTTTAAGGTGAGAAGGGAAAGATTGAAAATGGATCTAAGGGGCAACTTTTTCATGCAGAGAGTGGTGCATATATGGAATGAGCTGTCAGAGGAAGCCGTAGAGGCTGATACAATTACAACATTTAAAAGGCATCTGGATGGGTATATGAATAGGAAGGGTTTGCAGGGATATGGGTCAAATGCTGGCAAATGGGATTAGATTAATTCAAGATATACGGTTAGCACGGACGAGTTGGACCGAAGGATCTGTTTCTGTGCTGGACATCTCAATGACTAACTAACTGCTCTTGATTTTTCACTGAGCACCAACTGTACTAGTAATAATGTTCCTATTGACTCCTTGAACATCTTGAGCTCTGACTGTACAGAGCCAGTGGTCCAAAATCACCTCCGTAACAATACAACCCTACAGCTTAATAATTCTTTTCTGCATGGAGCTTGTTTCTGTGTCTGTTTTATGACTCCAACTAACTGTGGCTTGCAGCCTGCTCTTCAGTGAACCCTGAATTGTTTGGAGTGACCTATTGAAAGACTCGCAACGAGCCTTTGTTCCTTGGCAATATTAAATGTAAATTATAATTTAGAAAAATCAAACATAACACCACTTCAGAACAGTTTGTTCGATGAATGTTACAATGTTTACTAGGTGCCAGCTCCTACAGCACAAACTGCATAAAACAAAAAGAAGCCCATCACACTTTACCTAAAACTGCAAATCAATCAGCTGTATACATTTTACAACAGCTCCAGATACGCCAGACAAACCTGAATAAAGTTCTGATTTAAGTTAAACTCCTGATACAATATAAACCCATTAGAAAATGTCAGAATAGTTTTACAAATATATGCTTACGATAATATCTGATGCAGAAGTAAAATGACACAGTGCTTTAATATTATAGACAGTACACGATAGTGTAATGAGAGAAGGCAGATATTTAGAATCAGGATTACACACACAACTTTTCTGCTCAAACTACAATATCACTATTGGGAAGTAATGGTGGATTGGACATAGGAGAAGGTCACAGGCGTGCTCTTAGCTGTGTGCAAATTAAAGAGGGAATAAATCAGAAGTTTTGCAATAGCACTGTGGAATCCATAGCACAAGCAACATCTGCCCATTACATATCGGCTTCAAGGAGATGCAATTCAGTTAATAAATTCAGTGTGAGGATAAGTTTTGCTTCTGGCTGTATCAGATAAATACTATATCTCACTTATTTTGGTGTGATAATGTGACTCATTGGAACGTATGCCTCTCAAAAAAACCTAAAGACAGCTCAAAGCTGTACCAATGGGCCTCCAAGTTGTCTCTTTACCACGAATCTCAAAACTTTCCCTTGGCGTTGACAGCTCTCAACAAAAACATGTACACAGTTGTAAACATAGTGTCATAACAGTACCTTCTAAATACAACACTCGGCTGTCACACAAGTCATTCTGTGACTTGAGCAAAAATTGACAGTTTGTGGTTAGTTAACAACCATGGGTGGCACAGAGTCAAAGAGTATCCATCCACTAGAGTCTGGGCTATATTTGGACCCAAACCCCATCCAACATTCCTACTGGAAATTTATTATAGACTGCCATCAGAAGACCTGAAAAGATTTTTGATACATTTTTGGATGTGTCCATAAGTGGATGCAGACTTGAGTTAGTAACGCAGGGGCTCAAATCTCTAGCTGTGAAAACTGAATATGATTAATCTAACAAATCAAAGACTGATTAGTATCAGAGAAATGACTGTAAAGGTTGCTCGAGTGTAGTCAAAATACAATAATTAGGATACTATAATCTTTCATGGCTGTGGGAGGCCTTTGTACCTGTTCCTGCTCTTAGAAAGAGCTGTCCAAAGTAGTCCTGTGCCCCAGCTTTTGCTACATAATACTGCAAATTAGTTATCTTCAAACAAACATCCACTTTCCTTTGGGAGTTCCCATGGAATCATAGGAATTGGAATCCTATGGATTCACTACCTTTTACAGGAGTGCTCGAGATCTTAACCATGTGAACAACAATGCAAAAAAGTAATGATCTCCTTTCCAGAATATTTAGCAATTATTTTGAATCTATGATTTCTGGTTGTCAACCTACTCACCAGGGGGATTTTTTTTTCCTATCTGCTTAATCAAAACCTTATCATCAGGATTGCTAGCATTACATGCATCCTGAAAACAAATAATCAAATAAAAATGGTCAGGTTGCCATTAGATCACACATTTCCATACAATTATTTTGCGTTATGAATAAGAATATTGTGTTAGTTATAAGACAACTGAATGCAACAGCTTTCTAATTTGGGGCAGTCTCAGATAGGTTTGGAATGTGACCCATGGACTAACAAATAGCTCATGTCTAAATGTCCATCATCTTTTATAGATGAAAAATCCTGCGCAAATAACTCTGAAGTTAAGAATTTATGAAATGGGAACAGGGACACTGACAAATCTATAAGCATGTGGAATGCTTAATATAAAAGAATGGGCTTTGAGTTGGGAATCAATGTTGAGATTTCAATAGATTTACTTCATAAGCTTTTCATTTTTCAAAGTGCAGGTCAATCTGTCAGATCCTTCCACAAAGACTGTGCTGGTGGCTTTCAATACTAAGAAAATAATCTTTGATTAATACCTTATCTGTGAAATTATACAAAGTAAATCATTCTCCTAGACAGTTGGAATAGACTCACCATGTTTTGGGCTTAGGATAGGAAAAGGATCTCCAAGTTTCCAAAAAAAATACATGAAAGCCAACCAAATAACACATGCGAACAGGAATCTCTTTCTCTGCACTAAAGGAAACGTACAGGTTATTGCCAGAGTAATACAGCACAAAAGACCATTCAACTTGCATTTGAAATTATCTAAATAATTCCACTCTCTTGCTCTTTCCATATAGCCCTACATATCTTCCTCTTCAAGTATTTATCTCATCTTCCTTTGCAAGTCATGTCTGAATCTGCTTTCACTGTGTAGTACATTCTAAACCATCATAAAACATTTTCTTCCCTTCTTACCTCTGATTCTTTTGTCAATTAACTTAACTCTATGTCCTCTGGTTACTGACCCTGCTGCCAATGGGAAGACATTATCCTTATTTGAGTACTGCTAAAATATACACACTGATGAAATTTTATAGCTTGCCTCATCAATACAATTCAGAGATACCAAAATAAAGGGAAAACAAAATGAAACTCTATGAAAGAAGAGTGCTGATTGGTTGGCAAGTGGACTCTGATTAGTACAGGCATTGCCATGGGGAATGCATTTTTTGATAACAGACAGTTAATATCAAGCTTTGTTTAAATTCTTGTAAATATTGTTTGCCTTTTACTTTGGTATTTCTTGTAAACTGTTTTGATGAGTGCAAGACAAAATGCTTCAACAAAATGTACTTTTTTTGCAGTATTCAAGTTCTGTTTTATCCAACAACTATCTATTCTTATTTATTTGATCAAAATACTTCATGGCTTTTGAACACATTTATCAAATCTCCCCCTCACTTTCTCCGTTCCACGAAACAACTCACCTCTCTACAAATGGTCTACAAACTTGTTTACTGTAGATTGTGAGACAACAAGGTGCAGAGCTGGATGAACACAGCAGGCCAAGCAGCATCATAGGAGCAGAAAGGCTGACGTTTCGGGCCTGGACCCTGTAGATTGTGATTTGTTAATGCTGATTTGTTCAGCAATTTTAGTGCCCTTTACATTTTTTGTGCACGACTGCATACAAACGATAACTTAAGCACTGGCTTGTGTGCAGCCTCTATGGGAACTTCTGCATGGATGTGCTACTTGTCGAGACCACTGAATATGACCCTCCATTGTAAACTGCAACAAAATGGTTTCTAAACATTGGCTCCAAGCAGATATATGCAAGTACCATACTAACAGCTCAACAAGAACCACATAATATAACTGAAGAATAAATACCATGTCAAGATAGCAGCTGGCTCTAATTTGAATTTTATGAACAATTTAACTAAATGATTGCACTATAAAACTATCAACAAAAAAACAAGCAACACCGCATTTATTTAACACACAACATAGGACGACCATCAATTGTTGTATACGAACAACAATCTCGTATATCAATATACAACACTGAATAAAAAAAAGCAAACATATGATATGGCAAAATACCAGCCTAAATAAATATCCTGGTCTCAATCATAGATTTGAATGGACAGGTGATTAGAATAATTTTTAATTTGTACTTGACTTATCAGGATAGGACTCTCTGACACCTGACATTACACCAGCACTTTTCAATATAAAATTACAACTCACCTCATTCAAAACATGCAAATTAAATACTTTTTAATGTATGACTGCAGTATTATCGTTGGTACATGTTATGGGTGCATCTACTTACAAAGTCGAATGTTGCTGACCACAAAATAGCCAATGTAGAAAGGAACAATAAATATAAGTGCCACTAGGGTGACATATAAGTTCAACTTCCAATGAAAATATCTTGAGCTGGAAAACAACAAAATTAGATATGAATAAAATTCCTGTACTACCAAAATGCTGATGGAGCAAACTTTATTTGATCAGTATGGCCCAGATCTTGCCTTCATCTCTCCCAAATGACACAGCTTCTGTCCTTATCTGATTAACATGACCTAGATATATCTATCTGCCCAATATTTAGGGCACTACTGTGAGAATCGGAGATCAGACAGGGACCCTTGCCAATGTATTCAGTTCACTGGTTCACATATGATTGCATCCCATTGAGTTGATGGGTAATACCTGATCAAATTGAGACTCAGATTAGTAAGTATTAGCAAATTCAGACCAGACCACCAAGATAAGTTGCTTCAGTTTGTTGCTTGTAAGGGTCATAAATGTGTTTTTCTGCAATCCCAATTCTAGCTCAAAACTGTTCCAATTTCATTCAAATGGTTCACAAGACTACAATTTATATAAGCAACATCCATCACATTCCTTTAACTATATAGTTTACAAAATAATGGTTATTTTTGATAAAGCCTTATAAATCTGTTCTAACTTCGATTATTCAAAGAGCCCTCTTGTGGTGCATTGGTACTGTTCCTACTCCTGGACTAGGAGGCCAGCACTCAGATCCCACCTGCTCCAGAGATATAATGACATCTCTGAACAGGTTGATTGGAAAAATAGATTAAATAAAGATTATCTGATGCTTTTTCAAATAACTCTTGTAGTTAACCACAACAGAATAAGATCAACTGGCTTTGTTTTGTAGCTCACCTTTTCCATTCTGATGAAGAATGTAACATTTGCAACCTTCATGTGCTAATAATCTTAAAACAAGAGCAACACCATTCAGCAGTAAAATCAGACTCACTCCTCTAACAAGGTCTGGATGTTGGGACAATTAAAATCTTACTGACTACGATAAACGGGTCTTTGTTGTGTAAGGGCCCAAGGGATTTGGGTTAAAAATGGGTAAAATTAAACTGGATACACATCAACCATGATTTAACTCAATGATACAGGCGAGACAGGTAGAATGGCCTTTTTTTAAACTTTCACAGCTCCTGATTAATGGCTCTGCCAGCCCATCTGACAAATTCCTTAAGCATTTCATGATACAAACCATCTGGGATTACTAAATTTTTTACTATCTAGTTTCTTTCATTTTAATGATAATAGATTTTATTCTCATTCTCAAAAGTACTTTAGTTCAAGTTTTAAGGGTTATCTTTAACCATTTTAAAAAGAACACTCCAATTTTGAGTCTTAGAACGATAGTTTAAATCAAAAAGATTAGCAAATTAGCCCAAAATGGTAAATGAGAGAACTAGTAAACAGTTGCAGATTAAAATCTGGGTCCAGGATACTGTGAAAACTAATACTCTTTAACAATTTAAATCCGGAAAGTATAAAAGTGACAGATCTAAGACTATGCTGTTATGTAATGAAAAGGAAAAGCACTGTAATACCATTACTTTAAGATTATACAAGCCAAAATTGAAATATAGTCACTTTAATTTTGCAGCTGACTCTCAGAATACTTCACAGAAAACTTAAAAAGGTAGCAACTGAAAACTAGTGCATTTTTTGTGATGATTAAAACTGTATTCTTCATATAAGAAGTGGATTCAATCTCACGCCCTGTTTGTACGTTGAATATAATCAAGAGTATCTTGTTATATGTAGATAAAGCAATCCAAAGGTTCAGCACGCAGAACATTTCAGCACATAGTGGTAATCTAACATTGACAAAAATGTACTGCAACAAACTTGCAGGCTCCTTCAACAGTGTCTTCCAAACCTGCCATCTGCACAATGCCAAGAGCAGCAGATGGATAGGAACACCACCACCTTTGAGTTCCCCTCCAAGTCATAAATCATATTGACCTGGAACCATGTTGTTGTTCTTTCACTGTTGCTGGGTGAAGGTCCTGAAACTTCTTTCCCAATAGCATAATAGATGTACCTACACATGAACTATACAAGTTCAAGGTGGCATATCACTGCCACCCTCTCAAGAGGAAGTGGAGATGAGCAACAAGTGCTAGCCTTGCCAGTGGTGTCCATGCACCATAAACAACTGAAACAAATGCTTAGGTACATGTAAAAGATCTGATGGTACTACTTTGAAGAAGAGCAGAGAAATTTTCCCCAGCATCCCAGCCAATATTTTCAAAAAAATTAACCGTAAGTAAAGTTGTCTGAGTCTCAGAGGACCATAGGGGCTGCTCTCTCAGAGAAAGAGAGAGACATCTGGTGGTGAGTTCAATCTGAAAGTCACCACGCCTCAGGCAAAGGGCAAGGTTGAGAAGGTGGGACCATCATGGTGACCTTAGCCAGTACGGGAACTGAACTCACGCTATTGGTGTCACTCTGCGTTGCAAACCAGCTGCCAGTCTATTGCGCTAACCAACCCTCATTTATCATTCAACTAACATCATCAAAAACACCATTGACTCATTATTGCACCATTTATGGGATATTGTTATGCATAAAATAATAACTTTTCTATAAATAATTGAGTCCAGGAAGAAACTTACTTTGACTATCTACATTGTGAAGTGGTAATAGAACTAATTCCAATTAGCTCAACCTGACAACGTTTATCTACAACTAAAAAGCACAGAATGGATATCCTCCGACTGACCGATAGGAGCTTTATCCATACACAGTCTTAAATTGTTGATAAGGAATACACACTCACCTGCTGTTTAAAAGACCGAGAATCTCAAAGATAATAAGTTCAAACATAGTACAGGAGAAAGCAAACATCACAGAGAAAACCATTTGAACAACATACTGTCGGACCTGCAAAGAAGACAGACCACGATTAGCACTGTGTAGGAGAATGGACTGCAGCTTTCAGCAGTGAAGCAATAGGGGAAAACTGCTAACCTTGGTAAGACAGTATTAAAACAGGTGGACTAACGTTATTCAGTGTAATTGTTTCTGGTAATAGGATGCAAAAGTAACATTGTCCAGGTTTCCCATCATATGTGCATTACATAGAATTTACAACACAGAAACAGGCCATTGAGCCCAACATGTTGAAGACAGCATTTATGCTCCATATGAACCTCTTCCAAGCTTACTTTATCCCATCACCAAACTATTGATTCTTGAGAGTTGCTGGCAAGACAGGTATTATTGCATATACCTATATGCTTTTAACTGTGTGGTTTTATAGGTCAAATCAAATGTTTTTGTCCAAATGCATTAGCATGGGACTGAAAAACATGGGTTTCCTTTCCGAAAGGACTTTGGTGAAAGTTTGTTGACTTTTGTTTCCTAATTTGGCCTCAGGATATAGGCATCTCCAACATTTATTGCAAAACCTAATTGCTCTGGAGAAGTTGGCAGTGAGCTGCCTTCATGAATCACTGCAGTCTGTGGTGGGTAGATGCACCAACAGTGCTATTAGGAATAAAGTTCCAGGACATTGACCCAGCAACAGTGAAACAGTGGTGATACATTTCCAAGACAGGATTCTGGTGCCTTTGAGGAAGACTTACAGGTGTGTGGTGCTGCTATGCATTTTCTGCCCTTGTCCTTCTACGCGAAGGTTTGGAAGGTGCTGTTGAAGGAGGCTTGGTGAGTTGCTGCAGTACTCTTGTAAATGGAATATACTGCTGTCCCTATAAATACGTGGTGGAGGAAGTGAATTTTGAAGGCGGTAGATCAGATGTCAGTCAAGCAGGTTGCTTTTTCCAGGATTGTGTTAAGCTTCTCGAGTGATTTTAGAACTGAACTCATCCAGGCGAGTGGACAGTATTTAACCATACTCCTGATTTTTGCCTTGTGAATAATGGACAGAATTATGGGGAGTCAGCAGGCTAATGATTTATCTCTAATTCCTAACCTCTAACTGTTCTTGTAGCAAGAGTAATTATATTGCTGTTCCAGTTCAGTTTCTGGTCAATAATAATGCCCAGGATGTTAACAGTCGGGGGGAATTCAGCAATTGGTATGGATTGAATGTCAAGGAGAGATGATCAGAATCTCTCATGTAGGAGATGGTTATTACTTGGCACTGGTGTGTAAGAATATTACTTAATATTTATTAATCCAAGACTGAATATTGTCCAAGTCTTGCGGAAATGGACAAAGATTGCTTCAGTATCTGAGGAGTTGCAAATACAGCTAAACATTGCGCAATCATCAGCAAACATCCCCACTTCTATCTTATGGTGGAAGGTTATTGATGAAATAGATGAAGGGAGCGGGACCTAGGCACTGCTCTAATGAAATCCTACAGCAATGCCCTGGGACAGAGATGAATGACATTCACAATCCAGAATCATCTTTATTGGTGTTACATATGACTTCAACCAGAAAATAGTTTTCCACCTATTCTCATTGACTCCAGTTTTGCAAGAGCTCATTGAAATGCAGCCTCGGGGGCCCTTGGTGGCACAGTAATGGTATATATACTCTGAGCCAGGATGTCAAGATTCAAGTCCCCGGTGGTACGTTATCTCTGAGCAGGCTCATTAGAAAATATCAAATTCTACCCGATATCTACACTTCTTAAGTTCAGGTCGTCTGTCCATGATGAGACCAAGGCTGACTATCAGTAAGCAGACGATTACTGAATAAGTGCTGTCAACCATCCCTTTCATCATTTTGCTGATGATCAAGAGTAAACTGATGAGCTGGTTATTATAGGAGAATCGCTATAGAATCACTACAGTGTGGAAACAGGCCTTTCGGCCCAACAAGTCCACACCGTCCCTCAGAGAATCCCACCCAGACCCATCACCCTATAACCCACCTAATCTACACATCCCTGAGCACTACAGGCAATATAGCATGGCCAATCCACCGAGACTACACATCTTTGGACTGTGGAAAGAAACTGGAGCACCCGGAGGAAATCTACGCAGACACTGGGAGAATGTGGAATCGAACCCGGGTCCCTGGCGCTGTGAGGCAGCAGTGCTAACCACTGAGCCACCATGTTGCTTATGCTGAAGTAGCCCTTTGCTTCTGGGTGGTTATGTTTGGATCACTATCATTATTAGAATCAAACTCTAAGCATTGATGATAAATATTTCTCCCACATGATATGATCAGAATGAGTAATCTGATAAAGAAACCTTTTTATAAAACGGGTGAGAAAGATGGCTTACTTGATTTATTAAGTATTAATTCTCTCCCTGTAAAGCCCAGCTTGTTCAATCTAACCTGAAAGGTTTAAACTCTTAGTTCTACTGTCATCTCCAGTGTTTCCATATTTTTTCCAGATAACAGAGACCAGAAATGTCCATAAGTGTGGTCTAACAAAGTTTATAGAGAATTCACAGTGCTACAAGTAGAATTTATTCAAGCTATACACAGAATAAAACTGTGCACAGTGTTACAAGTGTGAGCTAGATAAAGTTCATGTTTAACAACAATTCACACAATATCTTTAACGTAAGAAAAATTCCCAAGTTGCTAGTTCTGTTCAACATCATTTTCCTGCTTTTCAAATCTATTCTGCTAATCTATGAAACAGGACAGAAAAAGCTATACACAAAATTGCAAGAAACTCAAAACTGGTACTAAACAGTGTTAAGGAAAAACATAAATTAAGGAGCATACTTTACCTAGTAACAACCCAAGCCATAATGAACCCTATTATTAACAACAGCAATATCTCACTGGCTTTGCAAAACTTGGAAATTTACCTCATAATCCTTGAATAACTGTCGCATGAAGAAAAGCCATCCAAATCCAAAAAACAAGACCTGCAAAAAAGATGCGCAAAAATCATTGATATCCCAAACAAACTAAAGTGCAGTGTTGTCACAGGCAGAACTGACTGAAGTAATTCAGTTACTCCAATAAACACAAAACAACAACAGCTTCCATTTATATGACACCTTTAACATAATAAGCCACCCCAAGGCATTTCATTCGAACTTTATCAGCAAAATTTGACTCTGAGCCGTGAAAGACGACTTTAGGCCAGATCCAAAAACACAGTCAGAGGTACATTTTATAGACCATCTTAAAGGGGAGGAAGAGAGAGACATTTAGAGATAAACTACAGAGCAAGGATGAATAGGATGTGGGCATGAGAATTTTGGACATGCACAAGTTTGCAGGAGGTGCAACAGGGGTAGCCAGCCAATGCAGAAAACCAAGATCAATGGATAATTTCATCAACGTGACCCAGGAGTAGTTACACATTTTATAGCAAGAATCTAACCACATAAAAATAATTTGTATTTACACAGCATCAATAATGTAGTAAAATATCCCAATCAGCCAAAGGCTAACACCAAGCCAAAGGAGAAGATATTAGGACAAGTCACTAAACATTTGATCAAAGTAGCAGGTTTTAAAGGATCTTAAAAAGAAAAGAGGCAAAGATGTAAAGAGTTCATGTAGAGAATGCCAGAGTTTCAGCCCAGGCAACTAAAATCACAACTACCATTAGCAAACTGAAGTATGCTCAACAAGCTAGAATGGAAATAGTGCAGATAGCTTTCAAGGTTTTTATGCTGGAGGAAATTACAGAACTAGACAAAGAATAAGTGCATGGGAGAATTGAAACACAAGCATAAAACTAAGGTGTTGGTTGATCAGGAGCCGAGTAAGTCAGCAATCACAGTTGGTGATGTTAAGTGCAACTTGACATTCAAAATTTAATCAAATAGGACAAACTAGTATCACAACATCTACAAAACAAGTATGATGTCTGCCTCTTGGAAAATATTTCTGTATGACACCTGGCATCAAAGGCAGGCAAGTCTTTAAAAGCACCTTCATAAAATATTGTTGTAACCAGGAATCCAACTATTTATTTGACTATCATGGCATGTCCCAGGTTCACTGCGGAACTTCAATATTTCAATTGCTGGAAGTGGCGAGAAAGCAAAGATACAATTCACAATCTCAGTTTATTAGAACCATTGAAGTACTTTCTGAAGTCCACCACAGTTGTAGAGAAGGAAACAGCAGTCAATTTGCACGCAACAAGCTCCCACAAACAAGTACGTGAAAACGACCAGGATCATATGTTTTCATACAGCGACTGGATTTTTTACGTCTTTTCACGGATCCTCATGCAGCATCGACAAGGAGTCAAGGTTTCAGTCTGTCCCGCTGAAAAGTCATCGACCCGAAACGTTAAGTCTGTTTTCTTTTTGTCCCCAACAGATGCTTCCAGACTTCGTTTATATTTGCAGAGTTTTCCGCAACTTTATCACCTTTTCGATGGCGGTACCAAGGGGAAGGTGTGCAGGAGTGAGAGAGATGGCACCAGAGAAAGGGGAGTCTGGTGAATGTTGGGGTGATGTGGACTGGGAGAGGAACAGCATCAGGGAATGGAGTGAGGCAGAGGGGTTCATGGGGCCAAGCTGTGCAGGCTAACAGGACGCGGAAAGAAAGAGAGAGAACGTGGAAACCTGGGAGGAGGTTGATTTGCCGGGATTGGTGTCTCTCCCTCCCCAGGAGCTCACCCCCAAACCGCACTGACCTGCGACGAGAACATAATGACCGAGTCCACAACAAACGACATGGCGCCGACAATCGCCTTTCCACGTCATCTACACACGACACAAAACGTCACCCGTGCGACGGCGAGGAGCGAAACCATGGCAACGGGGGCGTACCAGTGACGAACTGTCAGGGACGGCATGGAGAGCTCGGCTCGGGTCTCATTGCACGGTAGGTGGGAGAATCACACCCATTCTCATCACACTCAGGATCTACACCGGAAAAATGAAGGGTTATAACTGAGCGCTGCGCTGTCGGAGGGTCAGCGCCGAGGGAGCGCTGCGCTGTCGGAGGGTCAGCGCCGAGGGTGCGCTGCGCTGTCGGAGGGTCAGTGCCGAGGGAGCGCTGCGCTGTCGGAGGTTCAAAGAACAAAGAACAAAGAAAATTACAGCATAGGAACAGGCCCTTCGGCCCTCCAAGCCTGTGCCGATCCAGATCCTCTATCTAAACCTGTCGCCTGTTTTCCAAGGATCTGTATCCCTCTGCTCCCTGCTCATTCATGTATCTATCTAGATACATCTTAAATGACACTATTGTGCCTGCCTCTACCACCTCCGCTGGCAATGCGTTCCAGGCACCCACCACCCTCTGCGTAAAGAACTTTCCACCCATATCTCCCTTAAACATTTCCCCTCTCACATTGAAATCTTGACCCCTAGTAATTGAGTCCCCCACTCTGGGAAAAAGCTTCTTGCTATCCACCCTGTCTATACCTCTCATGATTTTGTAGACCTCAATCAGGTCCCCTCTCAACCTCCGTCTTTCTAATGTAAATAATCCTAATCTACTCAACCTCTCTTCATAGCTAGCGCCCTCCATACCAGGCAACATCCTGGTGAACCTCCTCTGCATCCTCTCCAAAGCATCCACATCCTTTTGGTAATGTGGCGACCAGAACTGTACGCAGTATTCCAAATGTGGTCGAACCAAAGTCCTATACAAATGTAACATGACCTGCCAACTCTTGTACTCAATACCCTGTCCAATGAATGAAAGCATGCTGTATGCCTTCTTGACCACTCTATCGACCTGCATTGCCACCTTCAGGGTACAATGGACCTGAACACCCAGATTTCTCTGTGCATCAGTTTTCCCCAGGGCTTTTCCATTTACCATATAGTTCGCTCTTGAATTGGATCTTCCAAAATGCATCACCTCGCATCTGCCTGGATTGAACTCCATCTGCCATTTCTCCACCCAACTCTCCAATCTATCTATATTCTGCTGCATTCTCCTGACAGTCCCCTTCACTATCTGCTACTCCACCAATCTTAGTGTCATCTGCAAATTTGCTAATCAGACCATCTATACCTTCCTCCGGATCATTTATGTATATCACAAACAACAGTGGTCCCAACACGGATCCCTGTGGAACACCACTGGTCACAGTTCTCCATTTTGAGAAACTCCCTTCCACTACAACTCTCTGTCTCCTGTTGCCCAGCCAGTTCTCTATCCATCTAGCTAGTACACCCTGGACCCCATGTGACTTCACTTTCTCCATCAGCCTACCATGGGGAACCTTATCAAATGCCTTACTGAAGTCCATGTATATGACATCCACAGCCCTTCCCTCATCTATCGACTTTGTCACTTCCTCAAAGAATTCTATCAAGTTGGTAAGACATGATCTTCCCTGCACAAAACCATGCTGCCTGTCACTAATAAGCCCATCTTCTTCCAAATGTAAATAGATCCTATCCCTCAGTATCTTCTCCAGCAGCTTCCCCACCAATGACGTCAGGCTCACCGGTCTATAATTACCTGGATTATCCTTGCTACCCTTCTTAAACAAGGGGACAACATTACCAATTTTCCAGTCCTCCGGGATCTCACCCGAACTCGAGGATGCTGCAAAGATATCTGTTAAGGCCCCAGCTATTTCCTCTCTCACTTCCCTCAGTAACCTGGGATAGATCCCATCCGGACCTGGGGACTTGTTCACCCTAATGCCTTTTAGAATACCCAACACTGCCCCCCCCGCCCCATGCCGACTTGACCTAGAGTAATCAAACATCTATCCCTAACCTCAACATCCGTCATGTCCCTCTCCTCAGTGAATACCGACGCAAAGTACTCATTAAGAATTTCACTCATTTTCTCTGACTCATCGCATAACTTCCCTCCTTTGTCCTTGAGTGGGCCAACCCTTTCTCTAGTTACCGTCTTGCTCCTTATGTATGAATAAAAGGCTTTGGGATTTTCTTTAACCCTGTTTGCTAAAGATATTTCATAACCCCTTTTAGCCCTCTTAATTCCTCGTTTCAGATTGGTCCTACTTTCCCGATATTCTTCCAAAGCTTCATCTGTTTTCAGTCGCCTAGACCTTATGTATGCTTCCTTTTTCCTCTTTGCTAGTCTCACAATTTCACCTGTCATCCATGGTTCCCTAATCTTGCCCTTTCTATCCCTCATTTTCACAGGGACATGTCTGTCCTGCACTCTAATCAACCTCTCTTTAAAATCCTCCCACGTTTCAAATGTGGATTTACCCTCAAACAGCTGCTCCCAATCCACATTCCCCAGCTCCTGCCGAATTTTGCTATAGTTGGCCTTCCCCCAATTCAGCACTCTTCCTTTAGGACCACTCTCGTCTTTGTCCATCAGTATTCTAAAACTTACGGAATTGCGATCACCGTTCCCAAAGTAATCCCCTACTGAAACTTCAACCACCTGGCCGGGCTCATTCCTCAACACCAGGTCCAGTATGGCCCCTTCCCGCGTTGGACTATTTACATACTGCTCTAGAAAACCCTCCTGGATGCTCCTTACAAATTCTGCTCCGTCTGAGTAGTACTGTTAGTGCTGAGGGATTGCTGCACTGTTGGAGGGTCAGTACTGAGGGAGTGCTGCACTGTTGCAGGGTCAGTACTGAGGGAGCACTGCACCATCAGAGGGTCAGTACTGAGAGAGCGCTGCACTGCCAGAGAGTCGGTACTGAGGGAGCGCTGCACTGTCAGAGGGTCAGTACTGAGAGAGCTGAAGCACTTTCTTTGGAAAAAGAATTCCACAGAATCACCAGTCTCTGGATGAAGGAATGCTTCAAAATGAATTGTTGGCCCTGTATAAGTGGTTGTGAAATACATGTTTATTTTGAGCTGAGTATCACTGTCATTATTTAGATTAGAACTGGGAGTCATTCTGCTTTCTGCATATTGATTGCCTCACATTCAATCTCTCCACAATGATCAGGATCACACAACAAGAAAAATCAATCTTCAGTCATGTCTGCCCAAGCACTTTCTGTAATTATCTATGATAGGTTGCATTGCAAAATAATCACAAACTTCTTATAATAGTATCACTGAACTATAACGATTAAGAGGGGCAGTGTATTCTCATGTAGCTATGCATAAAATTTCTACTGTTCATGTCCTTCAGTTGAAATATTCAGCAACAAATCATAATAGGATTTTCAGCTTATTATTATGGTGCTGGGCCTTTGCAAGTTTTGCCCAATCAATCCCATTCTCTCATGATCTTTCTCCATTACTGTACTGTTTCATTTCCTTTCAAAATGGATCCAGTTTGATTCAGAAAGATATTATTGAATGTGCTTTATTCACAATTTTCAGCAGCAAATCCCAAATTATAACACCTTGTTGTGTAAAAATACACGCTGTCATGTCACCTCTTGATGTATATCTGTGTCCTCTGGTTACCGACACTCCCATCCCTGTAAACAGCTTCTCATTTACTCTAGCAAATCCATTGATAGTTTTGAATTCATCTCTATAATTATCAATTACCTTCTCTGGTAAGAACAATGTCACCTCCAGTCATTCTTTATAATAGAATCCCCTCTTCTTTGGTACCATTCTAGTAAATCACCCCTGTACCTAATCAAACATATTAGCTGAATCTTTCAATATTTTGACTAAGTGTAATTTTTGTTGAGTTTCATGAAAGTTTTCTCTACACACCACCTTGCAAGTGTTTTTGTGCTATCTTCCCAAACTCACCTCATTAACTACTCACCTTACCTCTATGATACCCCTCTTGGTTTCCTACTCACCGTGACTAGAAGTACTTGCTACTGATGGGATATCACAGAATGGACTAGAACCCTGTCTTCAACTCCATCTTTAAAACACCATTGCGCATTCGGACAAGGACAGCTGGTTTGGAGCTGCCCTGCATGGCTCTTGAAATTTACCTTGGACATGGTTGGTAAGAGGAAATTGGCACTCCAGTTTGCCAGCAAGGAGCTGGGGGTCATGGTGGATGGGGTACTGCAGAGGAGGGATGTCTTCTTCCACCAGGAGTGGCAGAGGAGATGATACAGGACCCCGTGATCCATGCCCAAGTTTGCCCATCCAGGTCAGTGCAGTGTCAGCCATCTGGAGGAATGCTCAGCAGTGAAGGAAGAAAGTGAATGATCTTCTCTGCTCTTTCAGGGTTAGTGTCATGATCTGCTACTTCTCACTGTCTCTATTCTTTGCTATTGCATCCATCTCCCACCATGGCTACCTTCTAACTGTTGCATGCAACAGCTTCCCTCACTCGCTGTCATCCACCTCAGCCTCACACTACTTACCCTGCATGGCCTGTTCACTGCCTAACTCACCACCTTTCCACCACCTGGACCAGCACTAGTAGCCGTGCCACCCACTTTCATCTCCCTTTATACCTCTTTTTCTCTCATTCCAGGAGAAAACAACCCACACAATGGCAGGAAGAGCCAGCATAGGTAGTGGACTGCCTGACATTCAGCTCCTCAGTCCCTACAAGGAGACTGCCTCCAGTGACTGACTGACCAATCGTGTCCAAGCCCCTGGACTAATGTAGGAGAATGTTTTTGATCTATTGTGCTGGGACACCCTGACACCCTTGATTTATCTGAGGACTGCTGACATTTTTGAAAAGCTTCCTGACTTTGTGACTGCACCAAACAGCAATGCAACACAGCACAGCACGTAGCTCTGGCTGAGGGGCATTCTGCAGAAAGGCGGAGCAAGGCCAGCTAAGGCA